AACATGAGTATTTAAATTTATCATAACTTTTAAAAATATTATTTAATATCTTTAATTTTTTTTATAAATAATCCTTGCATTATCTTCAACTTTTAAATATATTTTCTAAAGAAAATGTGAGAAAATATATATATAAATATTATAACAATTTTAAAAAAAGTCTCGTTATTGGTAATTCTTCATTATATAGCTTTCCTAATGTCCCACTAAGGTAAACATATTTTGCCATATTATTAATTTAATCTCTTTTTTATTAGTTTATTTTTGTTATAAGAACTAACATGTTTTTTGTGATGATAGATATTATTTCACTAAATATACTATTTACTGCATCAGGTAAATTTTTTTTTTCAAATTAGCTATAATATTTTTTTAGTTGTAATATGTTTTTAAAATAAATACAAAAACTATAAAAACACATATATTTTTATATTTTTATCAATGTTGTCAATAAACCTTTTTATTTTTTCATGAATTCTTCACTTAATTAGGTAATATATTTTATCTTTTAACTGATTATTTATTCAATATTCTCCATTCGTATAAAATTAAAATAATACTCTAATTAATTGACATAATAGAGTTATGTGTCATAAACATAAATTTATGTACCAGTTGTACATTCAAAAAGTGAATAATTTTTTAACTCATACCTCTATTGTGAAACATATAACATAATTTCAAATCATCAGATTATTTTTCATAAAAAAATAAAATTGAAAAAAAATAATTTAAGAATAGTCTTTTAGTAGCATAGATTTTAAGTGTATTTATATCTTAGCTTAAAAAAACCTCAGAACCATAAAGGATTTCACCGAGATTCTTGAAAAAGAAGATATGAATCCTATGATAACTCTGTCATTAGGAAACAGAGAATTCCTTATAGCCTTCAGTAGAATTTAAAAAGAAAATCTTATTTTTATTATGATTTAATATTTTAATTATATTATTTATATGTTACATATATTTTGAATATGTAAATAATTCAATAATATTCTTTTATATTTTTATTTAAATTTAAATAAAATAAAAATAATTCATGCATCGTATGGGTAGTAAGCTAGTTAATTTATAATTCAAATATCACATTAAAAATTTTAAAATTTTAAATATTATATTAAATATTTTGTTATAATTTAAAAACTATCCATGATATTAACAAAAAATTCACAATTAACAAGCAAATGAGGAAGCAAAAGATATACTTCTTACCTGTAGTAATAATAATAATAATAATAATAATAATAATAATAAAACAATTTTTTTTAAAAATTGTTACAATGTCCTATTTATTTGATAAAGAGTTGATACGTGTTCAAATTTATTATATTGCATTTCTATTATAATTATGAAAATATTAATTTTCTATAATTAATCAAAATTGCTGTAATTCTTCTTACTATAATTATAAAAATGCCCCTAATATCATAATTGACCAAAATTATTATAATGCCCCTCAATTATAATTACAAAAATACCTTTATTGATGCTTTAATAAAAGTTGATATGTGACATTTTATTTCAAAATTATTATGATGTCCCTGTTAAATTACGTATTAAATTTTAATACAATATAAAATTAATCACATATTAAATTATCAAAATGTCATTATCATTGCTTTATAAAATTTTGATACGTGGCATTTTATCTAACATAATATAAAATTAATATATTAAATTACTATAAAATCCCTATTAAATTACATATGAAGTTTTAAGATAATATAAAATTAAATACATATTAAATTATTAAAATATCTTTGTCATTACATAAAAATTTGACATGTGACATTTTGTTTGAAATTTACTATAATACCCAATTGAATTACATAATAAATTTTAATATAATATAAAATTAACTACATGTTATATTACTAAAATAACTTTACAATCACTTCATGAAAATTTAAAATGTGGTATTTTATAAAATAACTATAATACCTCTATTAAATAGCACTTTAAATTAATTACATAAAACTCAACTATGTATTAAATTACTATAATAAATAAAAAAAATGTGATAAATATAAATATATAAATCCATAACAAAAAAATTAAATTATTTTTTATTTTTTAAAATATTCTTACAAAAAAATTTATGAACTACGATAAATTGAAAATTATACATTTAATCATATTATTGATAAAAATACAATACTCAAAATATACTATAAAAAATTAACAAAAAACTATAATCGCAATATATGAAATATTATATCTATTAATTTTAATACTTTGATAATATTTTTATTTATTTTATTATTATTTTATACAAAATAATTATAAATATGTTTAGAATAATAAAAAAATAATACATAATAGTAATAAAATAATAATAATAATAAATTTTGACAAAAAAATAATTGACCTAATGTATCGGGCCGATATTTTTAATATTAATAATAAATAAATAAAACCAAATCAAAGACAAAACCACCTTCTATTTTTTCTTTTTTCTTTTTTTAAATTTGTATGTATGGTTCTACCCTTTGTAGTAAGTAATTGTTATGTTCTCTATCTCTTGTGGGGAGCCAAAGAGCTACTAGTAGGGAGACAAAACTTTAAACCCTAATTAGTGACTTTGTCTTTGGCCCTTCCTTTAATTTATTTAGGAAGTATTTGAATGAGCAGTGAAAGTGATTTCGGTAATATTAAAAAAAATAATAAAGATGATATTAATTATGATAGCAGTAAGATTAAAATTAATTTTGGAATGTGTTTATATATATAAAAAGCAATGATGATGAGATGAATTAGTATAAAAAGAAAAATTAATTAAAGATATTAGATTAAAATTTTAATAAAATGAATTATATAAAGTTTGAATATAATAATTTTTATATTTAATGTCTTTAGGTCATGTTTGTTATATAAAATTATGATAAAATAAAATAAGATAATATTATGAATATGATTAGATTAAATAATAGCATCATATTTTGTGTTTGATGCATGCAATGATTAGAATAGGATAATTTATTTATTTATCAAAATTATCTTTTCTCAAAATTTATATAATTTAAATTATTAATATAATTTTTAATGGTATAATTGGACATATAAGTTTAATCTTATGGATTAAAAATAATCATTTCCATTTAGAAAAAATTGAATAATCCTATAGTAAAAGGATATTAATTCTCTTTGCAAATCTTATCTCTCTCTTTAGATACAAATAAAATATGATATAAGATGATTATCATTTGATCTTATTAATAAGATTATGCATCAAATAGGACCTTAATGTTATTAGAATAAAGTTATTTACTCACATTAAATTAAAAATTAATAATATTTATCTACTTTATTATTTATGTAGTTATTTATTTTAATTAATTATTTAAATATGAACATGTTTGTCTATTTATTAATTTATTATAATAAAATTTATTTATTATATTAAATTAATAAAATTATTTTAAATATTTGAAACAAAAAATGAGAAAATATAAGAAACCTAGAGCACTATATCCTAAGGATAAAAAAAGGATGGGTAATATAGGAAAATATAGCTATGGTGGAAAACAAAATTTTCATCGAACCTCAAAGCTCTAGTGGGAAAATGAGTGTTCAGTGGTGCGATAGAAGTAACCTCACCATCTAGGTACTTGGATTTCACCGTGACTTTTTGGTTACCACCTGCACCTCACCCAGGGTGTAGTAACATCCAAACTAAGCCTTCTTCAACTACTACTTTCTTGGACTGCTGGATCGAAATATTTGTCTCTATTTTATATTATATGTATATATTTTATAATAATTTTTTTAGATTAAATTTTGTAATTATTTTTAAGAAGTGATATTTAATGGATACAAAAAAAATTTATAATTTTTTTTTATTTTCAAATTGTTATCTTAATAAAAAATGGCAATATTTTCATAAGTACTGTTCAACATTTAGCTTGTTTTTTAAACTGTACAAGATTTATCTTCTTCTCGCCACTTAATTTCATTTCATGCTTTCCCCCTTTATTTCATGAATATTATCCTACTTTTGATTTTTGATGATCGAGTTTTTTTCAACATTAATCTTATTTTATTTGAAATACATTAATAATTAAAATATTAAAAATACTTTTCTAAATCCTTGAATAAGAAGGTTTTTAGATATATTTCTATAAAAATTTAGTTTAATAAAATAATTAAAATACTAATGATCAAAATTAAAAAATGTTAAAAAAAATCCAAACATGATTTTATAGGACAAGGAAGTACTATATATCATGCCTCTTCTTTTTACTCAAAAATTCTTTTTTTTTTTTTTTAATTTTACTGCATCAACCTTCGTGTCATTCACTTTATGAGTTTATAATTAATACATAATGTTAATATATTATAGATTATGAATGAATTACACAATTATATTTTATAAAAATTAATTTTACAATTTAAATTAAAAAAAAGTACATTCAATTTTAAATATATATTTAAAATTATTTTTTAATGAAATGCAATTTACTAGTTGTATAGCATTATCATACTCCATCAAATATAAATTTAACTCTTCGGTCCCTCACTTTTTTTTTTTTTTAATAATTTGGTGATCTTCATTCTCCCCCAGACAAAACTTATATTATACTTTTAAAGGTGAAATATGTAAAATTTTTTAAATGATTTAATAAAAAATTTACATCAACAGATTAATAAATTTTAATATAAAAATTAATAATATGTTAAAAAACAAAAAATATTATTCATAATTTAAATTTGACTAATATTTATTTAATAATAAAAATTTTATTAAATTTTTAAAAAAATTTATATATTTAATCTACATAACAAAACTTTTTAATTTATCAATTTTATTTTTAATTTTTAATTTTAATTTAATAATTTTTAATAAAAATTTTCACAAATTTTACTTAAAAATTAGGTCTGCAGTATTTTGATTTCCCCAAATCCAAAAAAAAAAGTAAAAAAAACTTTTGGGTTTACCTTTATTTTGATTTTGCTCTCTCTCTCTCTCTCTCAACCTGTTACCTACTCATCTAAACCAAATATCTTCTTCAACCTCTATCAACCATGTCTGATTCTGATCCCTCCTCCAGTTACTTCAATGAATGTTTCAATCTCAACCCTTTCAACCATTTCTTGCCCTCTGCACATACTTCAAATCCATCTTCACATGCTCCTAACCATGCCTACAATATTTACTCAAATACTAACCATGGAAATTCTCTTACTCAATATTTTCAGGCTTCACCTCCCTCTCCTCCTCTCAAAGAAGCTCTTCCCCTTCTCAGTTTAAGCCCAACAAAGCATGAAGAACCAGAGGATTCCTATAGTGCCAGCAAGGAGATGGAGAAAAATAAGGACAAAGAAGAAAGTTGCTACTCTAGTTTGGGTGATGATGGAACTGTCACCTTAGCTCTTCATTTGGGACTCCCCAGCCCTAGTTCTTCTTCTGATTTAATCTCAAGGTTTTCAGCTGCTGATGATCAGCAGTTTTCAGCTACTGCTGTGGCAGATAAAGAAGATGTCACTGTAGCTTCATATTACCAATCAAATACACTCAACAAGGGTCAATATTGGATCCCAACTCCTGCTCAGATTCTGATTGGACCTACACAGTTTTCATGTCCCCTTTGCTTCAAGACCTTCAATAGATACAACAACATGCAGGTAGGTTCCATAAAATGACCCTTAAATCTAAAGAAAAAGCTTCCTTTTCTCCTTCCCTCTCTCCTATGACCTAACTCTTTCTGTTTTCTCCCTTTCGATTTTTTTTCCAGCAAAAAGAGAAAACTATTTCTTTCTTTCGTTTGTACACTTCTTTCTAGCTTGATTTCAACCCTTCACTTTTATTCTACGCCTGGTTCTGATGAGAAGATAGAATATGGGTCCTTAGGGTTTTCCTTTTTCTTTTGTTCCCCTTTAATGTATTCTGTTCTCTCTCTTTTTTTCTTTTTTTTTTCTGCTTTGACACATTGATTTTTTTTTGTTTTTTCTTTTCTATTCTTAAATCTTCCTTTAGTCTAGTCCATGTCCATCCCTTATTTTGCATAATTTGTTTGGCGTTGGGATTTGAAAATTAAGAATAAATCTAGACATGGTCCAACTGAGAATAAGATCTCTACCTCTCTTTATGTGATTGAACAACACAAGCATCATGCTTTTGGTACCTTGAAGTTTGTGTTCCACTTGTGCACATAGGCAGATGTGTAGAACTGTAAGTCTCCCAGTTTCTTCCCGGTCTTATCAGACGATCTTCATCAAAGATCTACAACCCATTATTTTTCTGATTCTGAACACTCAATCCGAAGAGCCAGAACCTTTTTCTTCGCTAATCATCAAATCCCAAGCTTAAGGACCATCTCATCTTCATGAATCCCCACGCAGAGAAAAGATTTGCTTCGTCTATGAAGTAAATCAAGATTTTTCCTGCAGAGACCCTTTTGAATGAATTACATCCTCATTAATTCAGCCGCTATTTTCTCTTCTCTTCTTTAATGCATACAATATGCAGACAAAATACATTCCAAAATGTAATAGGAACCAGACCCATGTCTCTGTCTCTAACCCTATCTGAGGCACACCGTCATCATTCCAGTCCTGCCCTCCTCCAGGTTCATCCAGTTGCAAAATGGTCCTTCATTTGGAAAATTTTCAGTAAGTGTGATTCAGACTTACTACCGAAGTTACTTATTTCATGCAAGGAAGCACCCTGAGCTAATCAAAATTCTTCCCATTGTAACCCATAATCCAGGAAGATAGTATATTTCTTAGTAGTGATATTTAGGAAAAGCCTTAAGCAGTGTTCTTGCTTTTCCCTGAGTGCCTTATAAGACATCTAAATCTTTGGCACAAGTCCTAATCCAAATTAGTGGATGCTGTTTCTTCCTTTTCCTTTTCCCCTTTTTAAAAGGGGAACTGCTATAATCTGGAAATTGATAAATTTAACTTTTAATTTGCTGTTTTTTTTTTCTTAATGATGTAGATGCATATGTGGGGGCATGGATCTCAGTACAGAAAGGGGCCAGACTCTCTAAGAGGAACGCAACCAACGGCCATGCTGAGGCTCCCTTGCTATTGCTGTGCACCAGGATGCAGGAACAACATTGATCATCCAAGGTCAAAACCTCTCAAAGATTTTAGAACTCTTCAAACCCATTACAAAAGAAAGCATGGAATCAAGCCTTTGACGTGTAGAAAATGTGGGAAGGCCTTTGCTGTCAGAGGTGATTGGAGAACCCATGAGAAAAACTGTGGGAAGCTTTGGTATTGCACTTGTGGGTCTGATTTCAAGCACAAAAGGTCTCTCAAAGATCATATTAAGGCATTTGGGAATGGGCATGCAGCTTATGGCATTGACTCTTTTGATGAAGATGAACCAGCTTCTGAAATTGAGCAAGACAATGAATCCTCTCAGTGACATAGGAAATGCTGCAATACAACTTCACATGATCATAATGAAATTCATGTTTTTGTGCATTGGTTATTTGTAAACAAGGCTCCACAAGAAAAAGAAACAAATCATGCTTAATTAAGCATTAAAAGTGGGGCCCGTTATCTTCTTTTTATCCCTATTGTTTACTTTTTGGGGCTCCTTTTTCCCCTCTTACTTCAGATATTGCTTGCACTGGCTAGACCAAGTTCCTGCATGCAATTCCATTTATCTTATTTCTTCGCTTCTCTATTAGAGGCTATGTGGAATTATCATCTAAATTTACTTGTTAGTTATTAATAAACTGCAAGGATGGCCCAATGTTTCAGCTTAGCAGCATAGAATTAATATACATGGAAACTGAGTCTAGCTAGGTCATGTTCAAATTAATATCAGTCCAATCGTATTTCTCAACATTTTCATTGATCTACTTGTTTTTATGCTGTGCAAATACACGAAACATGCACACTATATACACATTTATATAAACAAAAACGTGCATCAGCACAGTCGATCGTGTGCTATATATATGGGATTTTTTTTTTTTGGGGGGGGGGGGGGTTTAAGAATAAGAGGAGCTTTTTTTTAAAACTATATATATCTTCTCCAGTTTTTTTCTTCTTTTTTGTGTGGTATGACCGGTAGTTTGAAAGAGGAAGTCGAAGAAGAAAAGGGAGGCCAGTTAATGATGCTAAACGCATGCATTTATTGTTCATATGGGTAGCCAACACTTTTGTCCCCAAATAATTCTTTTTGTATGCGACACACCGTAGCCCTGGCTCTAGCCCTAGACCTAGTCCTAATCCTGGCCCTGCGTAAGAATAAGCAGATTGAATAATGGGGTAGGGGCAAATTGTGAAAATGCGGTTTTGAAATGTATGGCTTTTTTTTTTCTATGGTATTTGATTCCAATTTCCTGTGCGGGAAGAGTTTTTCACTGATAGAAAGAAAAAATACCATGTTTAGATTCACAAAAGCATGGGATGGATCTTGGTGGCAGCTTTACTATAGAATTGCTGGGACCTGAGACTTGAGAGAGAGAAGAGAGAGAGTCAAAGATTGGCCCTGAAATGTCATGTCAAGCTACAGTTCGATCATCAGAGTATGTACTATTTGTATTTGCTTTATCTTAATTAGCTGTCTCAGATTGAGCCAAACCAAAGAGAAACTGAGACTTCCGTGCATGATTTCATGCCATCAGCTTCTCTCTTCACTTTACAGTCAGGTAACCTAGGCAGTCCTTTGGGAGAGACTGCGAGTTGTTAAGAGTTTCACTTTACATGTAGATTTAACACAAAAGTGTTGAAGTAGAGATCATTTCTTGTTTTCCATGTTATACAGTGAGCTGTCAACAGCATTTTCATCGTCTTTTGATTATAAAAAATGATCCGTCATGAGAGATTGATCCTTGTATCCTTGTCATGTACTTATGCTAAGGTAATAAACTAGACCTATAACTCCATTTACATTGCCATAATTTATATATAATTATAAGTCGATCTTACTTCTTATTTCTTAGTTCTCATTTTTTTAAAACAAAATTTTAGAGTAATTTATAAATAAGTTATTCAAGAGATTTAGGTCCATTGTATGTGATGAACCGATAGAGCTTATTTCAGATTTTCAATTCCATGGAAATTAAGCTGGAAAACAGTTTGAATTGATCCTTTATACTAATTCCATGGACAGATATTCAACGAAATTGATAGATTAAAAATGTTTTAGTTTTTAACAAATTACAGTCATAAATTACGTCAAGGATAATCGTAATTTTTTTAACGGTTATTAGAAATACAATCATAAATTACGTCAAAGATAATTGTAATTTTTTTAACAATTATGACTGAATATGAAGATTTCAGTTTTTTTTTTCATTAATACTATTATTGTTGTTGTTACTATTTTTATAATTTAATATATTAAATTAACGCCACTAAATAAAATATCTTTCTCCACGACTAGCAGTGGTAAGCTTTATTTGATGTTGGTTTTTAATAGCTCTTGCATACTTTTTCCTGTTTATCCAAAGTTTTGACAATCCTTTAATTGGGATATCTGTTTTCTACCGTTAGTATTCTATTATCTATAAAATCTATTAAAACTATCAACATTTCTCAATTTCCATGAAACCTAATGATTAGAGAATTAATTAAGGCATGAAATAAATATATCATGAAATAAAGGTTGGTAAAATAAAAAATAAAAATAAATAAAATTTTTATAAAATTTTAAATTAATCCGATGATAGAGATTCTTTAAAGAATATGAGTTTCTTAAATACTCTTGATATGAGAGAATTATTTTCAAAATTTTATTAAAATATTGAAAAAACCTAAAAACTTTCCAGTATTTCAAACAATGAAATTTAATTAAGAATAAAAGACTATTTAGATAGACCATTTTAGGATAATATAAGATTAATTGATATCATTTTTTTATGGACATTATGAAGGTGTTAATTCCATCTCTACATATAGATTAATCAACAACATATAATAAAAGTTGTCCTACTGAAGTTATCCCAGAGTGAAGACAACTTTCAATTGAAGGGTAGTTCACAATTGAGCTACCAAATTCTTTTCTATTTGCCAAATAGATATTGATTGATAAAAAAAAGTTTAATAAATTATTAGGCTTGGCAGGTAAGTATATGTTAGATTTTAATTGGATTTGGAGAAAGGAATTTGAGAGTTTGTTGAATGTCAAATTGTAATTAGGTGTGTTTTTATAAGTATTGAACTTTTATTATTTATTATCTATAATAAAATAATAATTATAAATATAAAAGATATAAATAAAAAAAATTACTTTCCTTTTTTCCTTTCTTTTGTTTTAAATATTTTTATAAAAAATTTATAATCTATAAAAAATTAAAAAAAACTATATATTTTAATCAAATAATTAATAAAAATACAACACTCATATATATCGTGAAAAATAACAAAAATTTAATAGTAATATATGAAATAATATATATTTTTAATTGTAATTCTTTAAATAATATTTTATTTATTTATTTATTCGTTATTTTTATATTAAAATAATTAATCTACCCCCGACGAAGCGGGAACTAATTATAGTGAATAAAATTGCTATCTTGGTTGATGAAAAAATGTGATATATAGTTCTATAAATACTGTACATTCAAAATTATAAATTATAGAATTGATAATGTAAAGACATATTTTTTTTTGGTATAAAGGTTTTAGCTTGAGAATAGAGAAAAGATTATAGATATTATAATATAAATTTTAAATTTATTAGATGTCATTTTTTAAAATTGATTGTATGAACCGCCAATGAGACTTTGGATTAGTAGCAAAGAGGAGATCCTAAAATCTTAAGGCTCTATGTGTGGATTTAGTTGTTTAATTAGTTGTGTTATAATTTATTAATTGATTATTTAGTAATGTAATAATTGATTATATAAATGTAAGACTTAATTACGAGTGTAATTTAAAAAAAAAATAATTATATGAACCAATTGAATTAAACGACAAATTCAAAAACATAAAATCATACACTATAAAAATGAACTAACTTATCAATGGACACAACCATTTGTTTAGTTCTTAATTGTCATTTTTTAGGCATAAAAGGTGTGTCACTTTTGATTATTCTTTCAAATAAATATATATATATATGTATGTATGTATGTATGTATGTACATAAGAATTTATGTTACCCTTGTGTGAACATTAGAAAAAAAAGATTTTTCTATTGGATGGGTATCGGAAAGAATTCCATCATCTATCAGAGTGTAGGCAAATATTCAATTAAACTTGAATTTTCTTACAACTACCAAACAAGTACTTCACCAATTAATTAAGCTATAGCAGGCTATTGCTAGGTTTGGGTTGGGAATATGGATGGTGATGAGGGTAACAAGACACATACACGAAAAAAAAAAAGAAACAGAATGCTTACAACATTGATGCTAAGAGGGTTCGACCATCTTCTGCTACTCTAATACTGGAGGAAGCCATTGCTGTTGATTTTAGTATATTTATTGTTAAAGTATATATATTTTTTTAAATAAAATTGATGTTCTATTCTTCCTAATTAGGTAAAAAAAAAACTTGGTTAGAAAAAAAATCATGAATAACATTTCTAAATATAAAGATTGTGAGAATAGTGGGATATCATAAAATGAAAAATAGAATATCCTCCATCCGTCTTAATTTATGTATCTTTTTTATTTTTACATAATTTTAAAAAAGTTTTGATTTTAAAATATTTAATATTAAGTTAAATTTTTTATCTAAAACTGATGTTCCATATTCAATAATTTCTAATATAAAAAAGTAAACAAATCATAAAAAATAATTTTATAAAATAGAAAATTTACAGTTTCTATGTTAAAAAAAAAGGGCATCGTTTTGAAATATTCAAAAGGGTTAATGTCTTGAATTATTTTTAAATTATAGTAAAATATTTAATATAATATCTCAATTATAAATCTATTAATTAATGCACTATTTGAAAAGTTATTTATCTATTGTGTATCATTATTTGAAGTTAATTACGTTATAATTAAATATTACATTAAAAATTTTTAAAATTTAAATATTACATTGAATATTTCATTATAATTTAAGTACTATTCATAATATTAATCCTATTAAAAAATAAAAAATGAGCGGAAAAAGGTGTTTGTATGGTAAATTCAAAAAAAAAAAAAACAAAAAAATAAAATAAGGAACGTACGTAGAAAAATAGTATCTAAAAAAGAATGCTAACCACATGCAAATTTCTTTTAAGAATATATAGAGCCCAATATGCTTGAGCAATATAACGATAATCTCGTTAAAATGTATTTCCTGCATCCTTGGTGCTTTTAGGAAGGGGCGAGAAAAAATTTTGAAAAAACAAAAAATTGATTCGAAATCATAGAATTCGGTTCTATTTAGAATTTTTTTTGTTTGAATAAAGATTCGATATTAAATGTATATATTAAGTTTGGATTTGATTTTAGATCAAAATATGAAAAAAAAAAAATCGAATTGAATTATATATTTTTATTATTTTTTATATATTTTAAAATTTTTATAAAAAAAATTTATTATTTTATATATAAACTTATTTAAATATATTAAAATCCCATTAAAATAACATAAAAAATTTAAAATTTTAAAAATCAATAAAGCGATTTGATAAAATTTAGTTCAGATCAGATTGATTTAGAAAAGATCGATTTAAATTTGGATTAAATTTTAAAAATTTATAATATTATATATTATCTAAAAAAATTTAATTGTATCCGATCCTTCCCCACTTATGTAGCACTTTGTTCCAAGCACTTAGACTTTGCTTAGTATATGTGTGTGTCTCTCTCTCTCTCTCTCTATATATATATATAGACACGACTAGTGATCCACTTATGTAATATAAAACTAAACAAAAGTTTTATATAATTTTTTAATCTTTAATTTTAATAGATACAAGAAATGATAAAGACAAGTAAAAATAGAAAAATTTTTTGTTTAATCTCATCTATTGAAATCGAGAGTTAAAAAATATGTAAAATTAAAAAAAATTTACACTATATAAGTGGAATTAAAAAACTAACACATACTATTTTTTTATTTTTTAAAATATATCGTAAAGAGTATGTATATTGTATCATCCTTTTAACTCCACTTATAAAACCTAAAAATTCTATTGTCAAAGTATTTGATAATTTCTTAAAATTATTTAATTCATTAAATAACGACGATGCATTAAATATAAGAGTGAATTATTTTTATCATTTTATTTTAATATTTTACTCAACTTTGAAAAATAATATTTTGAATAATTTTTTGAAAAATTAATATAAGTAATATTTTGAAAAATATAATATTATTTAATTTTGTAGTTATTTAGTTGGATCTGCTGATTTATGTGTGGAAATTTGCACAGTAACATCCATTATCTGATAAACACATTTTGTTTATAAGAGCTTTCAGAAAAAAAGTTTGGAAACTGCAAAATTTTACAAGTTAATTAACTTTAAGCCAAATATCTACATTTCTAGTACTTCTGAATACAAAGAGTTGTCATGCATATTTTTCTGATTAAATTGCATCACTCATTTATAACCTTTGTTCAATATTTTTATTTTATCCACAATTTTTAAAACTCAATTTTTGTATCTATAACTTTTTAAAAATATTTTATATTAATCTATTTTCACTTGTTATTAAAATATGATGAAATTTGCCACCTTAAAATTTTTAAAATATGTATAAATATAAATATTTAATGCATTTCACCATAAAAAAGAAAAAATTATATATTTACAATAGGATTTTGCAATAATTTTTAGATGACAATTCATTCAAATTTGTATGCCCATAAATATTATTGGAATTATTATGGTTATTCTTTCCTATTTGAATCTGATTCATTTTCCACATTTTGATTCTAAATGGCTCCAAAGTAATATTGTATGACACATGAATTAAAAATGTAAGTCAACTTAAAATATAAAAGGAAATAAATATAATTTATTATATGAAATAAAACCTTTTAAAATTTAAATCAAATCAAATCAAAATAATTAAATGTATGATACATGGCATTTGTTTAAAACTGTACATAGCAAAATAATAGATTATCCACATTAGATTTTTCTTTTTTCAAAAATTTTGACTTACATATATATATATATAATTATAAGCATGATCTTTCTTAAGAAAAATTAGAGATACAAGGGGTTAGGTTGAAAGATTTTCTGATAAAGATATTTACAACTAAAATTTTCAATTTTCATTGTTTATTTTAGAGATAACTATACTTTTAATCCTAAACGTTTGCACATTTTTCATTTTCATTTTCAATTGTTGGACATTTGCTGTTTCAATCTTAAATCCTATCAAATCTAAACTACTTTAGTCTAAATGTAATTTTTGTATGGGATGAGTAAGACACGGCAGTCCATGTGGGTAGGTTGTGCCATTGAGACATGCCATGTCACCAAGCCGGTTATCTCCCTCTTTTTCTATCTTCACTTTTGCTTTATCCAGTCAAAAGCTTACTTTTCCTACGAAAGGAAAGATGGGAGTAGACAGCTTTGATCCCACCCATGACTCTGTTTATGAGATTTTTGTTTGAGGAAATCCATATCCAAGAAAATAGAATGATGTTCTATTACATATGCAGCGTTTCCCTTTCGTAAGGGAAAAATATGGAACTTAAGGTCAAATTTTGAATAATCTTTCATTATTACCTCATTTCCATTTCTAACATGGCTAAGGCACCGTAGGCACGCTGAGAATCCTTCCCACTGCACTCAGCCAATTGATTTTTGACTTCAAACGCAGTAACAAGTCTTTCACACCGAATTTTAGCTCATCATTGAATGGTGTGAAATTACGCGATACAATAGTTTCATTTAATTTTCCATAAAAATTGACTTATTTTGCATAGGCGGTCAAGCATTAACAACTGGAAGTTCCAGGGAACAATGATAAATAGTTAAGGTCATTGTAGCCAACTCTTAACTCACAAGTCTATTAATTGTTTCGGATTGTCGACCAGGGTTATCCATGGTTAAACAGAGGGCTACAATCAAGACTTCCTGACCTGCCATAAAGATCCATACCTAACATTTTCTTTAACAAGATCCATAAAAATTTATTTTCTTTTTCTTTTTTTCCTTTCCAATCTTCAGTTTGTTAAAGAAATAAATCGATATTTTGTACATTACATATTGGCCCCTTCATCCTTGTGCTTAAGATCTTCCCAGAGCATCTGGCTAAAATATCAGAGAAAACCATCAATATTGTATGCGAAATGCAGACACAGTGGTTAAGGAATTCACAACATTTTGTTGATTGGTACATGGAAAGAAGCTACAAGCCAATGTCCTCAGGTATGCTCAGTTGAAGAAAGTATAGGCTGCTTGCAAAACCGTAGAAAAGACATGTAAATGGTAAGTTCATGAGGAAAAAAAAAACAATAAATAAAAAATATAAACAATTAAATGCAATTAGGTGAACCAACATATAAATCCACATGATTTAACAAGTACAATCTACCATGTAGTTCGGCTAAATGTTTTTTTTTTTTCTTTCCCCTAGCTATTGTGGATATGATGTGCTTCCCTGAATTAAAATTTCCTTTCCCCATGGGCCAAGTAGTTAAGATGTTGCCCAACATTTATGAGTTTAAAAACACATTTCATGCATATTTAATTTTTCCTTAAGATAAACCAGAATTTGAACCGCATGTCTATATGAGCTAAGCAATGAAAACATGAAGTTTCGAGCCGTTTCTTGAAACAGCACATGGTTCACTATGAATTTTATTACCTTGCAGACATGAAAGCCATTCCAAAGAAAACAGCCTTGACAGCTTGCTTATGCCCCACATAATCAAATGCCAATGGCAGCATTTCGTGTAATGTTAGGAAGGCCATCACCCCACCAACTGAAATTTTAATATAAATTTAGAGTAAAAGATTATCACAAGATGATATCAGAGAGCTAGGAAGTAGATTCCAGATTCTGTATTCATTTTTCTACAATCAGATAGGATCAGAGCAATCAATGGTACTACAAACCTGATCCTAACAAGCCCTCAAGAATTTCAGGATTTAAGCTCCTTGGGAATAGATAAGCTGTAGTGCAAGGAAAAAGTCAAATCAACAGCCGGATAGTCTGACATTTATAGGGAACAAAATCTTGCAAGCAAACAGGCTCTAAATCCACCATGAACTTTGACAATACAGATTATATTCAGACCTAAATACAAATCATATCAAAATAAAAAATAGAAAAAGATAAGATTAAAACTTTCCTGAAAGAGGCATTGTCTTTAGTCCAGATAGCTCACAGTGCTTTCACATTATTGCGGTTTATAACTCATGACCAACGTTTAACATTTCAGTTAAAAGAGCATTTCACCGAAAGACTTCAAACTTCCTTAAAAGAAAACCTTCTAATTCTTATTTTCATTTTCTTTCTATAGTGGGAATTTTTAAGTTTTATTTTTTATTTTTTTACCTTTTTTAATCTTTTTCTGGTACTTCGAGAAAAGGCAGTTCACTTACCAACAATTACAACACCAAGAGGCTCAGCAAAACCAGAAAGTGTAGCCAATTTGAATGCCTGCCACTTGCTGCCAAATAATACAAACAAAACAGTTAACAATTTCATCATACAAAAAGTTCTAATTGTTTACATACTTAAAAATGGAAAGACCACTTTAACAGCATACAGCTCATCCAACAATCTCACAATGCAAATGCCCACACCAGAACAGTCAATTTAATCCAATTATCATGGCAGGTGATGAAGACACTGCCATTATTGAATGACTGTACCGTAGAATAGATGGGAAAAGCTTGCAGTGACATGGACAATAAACAAGAATGGTTGAACTACATTCGAAAGGAGTTTCTATAACTTCCCCAAAACACAAAGTACTTGTATGAAGTCAAAAAAAAAAAGTAGATCTGAGAAAAAGCAAAGCTACTAATGCAGAACTTAAAAAGTATTAATATTGAGATCATCAACAAAACATATGGTACTGTCATTAATGAGAATTTCTTCACCATCCCTACAATAAATTTAGAAACCAATCACAAGTATCTTCTTGAACACCAGCATTACTGCTCTCACTGCAATCTCTATCACCACCTATAATACTCAGGACTGTCCAGTTAAAGTTAGGACTAGTGCCTCCTTGCTAGGAGTGTAATTGAGCCGAGCCGAGATGATAAAGTGAGAAGCTCGAGTTCAACTCAAAATTCACTTTCGAGCTCGATCGAATTTTAATTTTCAAGCTCGAGCTCAACTCGAGATAAAAATCACGCTACTGAAACTCGCTCAATTAGGCTCGTTCAATAAAAATGAACTTGATTCTCATGCTCGATTTCAAGCTCAATTATGCGTTCGAACTCGAATTCGAGCTTGAATTGATATATACAAAGGTAAAGTAGTAATTTTTTAATTAAAATAATAAAAATATATTAAAATTTAAAAGCTCAATTAGGCTCGTGAACTACTTGAGCTAGATATTAGGATGCCTGAACTCAGCTCACTCGATAAGTCGAGCTACTCGAGCTTGACTCAACAATGACCGAATTGAATTCAAGTTTTATCCGATCTGAGTCCTAGTAGCTTGTAAACATTGATATATCATTTACACCCCTACTCCTTACCACTGGTGTTACCTAGGACCACCATCTTGACATCATATTGCCAACCCTTACACTTAGACATAGTTCCACAATCATTATACCCGGTATACACCTTCTCATCAAGTACCAATCTTTCACCCTGAGCCAAGCAAAATATTTTGGCGGCCTATGGTACTTAGCAAAGGGCAGAAGAAAATAAATAAATGAAAAAAAAAATGACTTTTTCACAATGGATCTTTTTGTTAGATGTCCTAGATCCACAAGGGATATAGGTCCTTCCCATTCCATAAACCCCATCCTCACATCCTCAAAATTCAGACCTACAACCTCCAAGTTGAAAGTCCCTAATTCTAACTTTGGGTCCTATATGTGGATTTTCAAGAAACTAAATTGATTAACGTCTCAATAAATTCTCACCTTTGTGTAGCAAAATAAATGGGAAGTGCAACAGCAACACCCTGTAAAATGAACATAAAGAACTTAGACAAAACAAAATACTTAATAATTTTATATGTATATATATATATGTGTGTGTGTGTGTGTGTGTGTGTGAAGGGATCAAATTACACCAAAAAAGTTTTACACCTTTTTCTAACCATTGATTTCAATAGATTCAAGGGATGATAGAGACAAATCAAAAAGAAAAAAATGATTTAATCTTATCCATTGAATCTATTAAAATCAATGGTTAGAAAAATATGTAAAAAGGTGTAAAGCTTTTTTGGTGTAAATTGATCCTTCCCCTATATATATATATATACACACATATATATATACATATATAAATCAGAAGATTGCACGTGTATGCATAACCAATTCAGTTTTTATCAATTTATAAAATAGTTCAACCACACACATACACACAAATTCTCTCTCTCTCTCTCTCTCTCTCTCTCTCTCCCCAACATGCACACATATACTGGTTTAAGAAATGCAGCCCAATTTTGTATACAACATCCAAGAAACCTAACATGTGTAAGCAGCAGTGATTTAAGAAGTTTTCTGAACTTCAGACCAGACTGGCCAGTTCAACTGGTTGGAGAGGCCTCTTGTACCTTGTAAGGTCTGGAATCCATTTAACAAGAGGTCAAAAGTCTTAATGCATTAGACTGGTTCCTGTTTGTTAAAACAAGATTTAAAATTTTTTTTGCAAGTTATGAGATTATAAACCTTGCCCTTGTAGTTGATAAATCAGTTGTTAAACAATCTACCAAAATGCAAATTATTGTCATCATCACCAAATTCAATATATTTTTTAATAAGAGAACATAATTTATTCTGAACTAGCAAAACTGGGAACTGGCTACTTAAGTAGCTGCCTTCAAGGCCAGTTTAAAAATTACTGGATTTAAAAATATGTACCTCTGGGATGTTGTGCAAAGCAATGGCCAAAGCTAAATTAAGACCAACACGAAGACCCTACAAGAGAAATATATAGGCAAGCAAAGAGATTCATTAGCATACATATAAAACATTGTGGGTTCTCAATGACAAATTTATATCGAGTCAATACTTCCTAGAGTAAATTAGTAGCTTCTACTAGCCAACAAGAATGAAACATTCTAACCATCAAGTTTGCTTGCATCAAGAAGATATTCCTTTGAAACGAAAGAATGCAGTAGAAAGTTTAATACCAAAATTATTTTTCTAGTAAGCAATATGTTCCCACTTTAAGACATCCATAACTCTGTTGAATTTTATATGGAAATTACTGCCATAAAATAATAAATTGCTTACCATCATATATCACTTGGCATGGTACCATTTAGCTTTTCTTTTTGGAGTGGGAGGGGAAGTTATAATTGGCATCGGAATCAACCCAATCAAACAAAGCAGTTCTATGCTGTAACGGTCCTTTTGGGATTCATTAGGAACTTATATTTAGTATTTATTATTAAGATGGATAGCTTCTTCTGGTGTGAGTTCCAAGACTTTATAAGCTTAAGAGCCCATACCACTCCCAAAGAGAAACGGAGAGAGAAAGTTAAGAAATAGTTGATCTTCATTGCCATAAATGAAATTTGAAATACCCAGTTCAAATCAAATAATGAATAGTTAAATTGTCATCCTTGGCGCATCAATAATATGGAATCATAGAAAATCACTAAATAATAATGGTGTTTAAGTCAATAACATTTAAGAAAAAGACATTCAGAATGCTGCATCAACAACCATTAACAACCATAGAAAGGTAAATTTATCATTCAAGAAAACTGCTTCTCGAGTTTGAAAAAAAAAAAAGACTGCTAAATTAACCACTTAAGAATATTTGAAAAGTTAAGTTATTCTTGCTTCAATCTCAACATATTTTAGTTGCAGAGCATCTGGTGTTATAAATTTTACTTGATAGTCTCAGAAAAAATAGGTTGGGACTACCTTCATGGATCCAAGGAAAACTGCCATCCCCTCAGGAAAATTATGCAAGCTTATGCCTGCCATTTATAAAAGGAAAAAGTTCAGTCAATCAGACTGATATGAGCAGTTCTTATGGTTAGTAAGAGGCAATAGGCTAAACCAAATAAAAGGAACCAAAAAGAGCTAAGATATTAGATCCCTCATCCCTTGATAATACAAACTGTCAAAGCTTTATATATAATATTTGAGCAGCTAAGTTTAATTCAAACTATTTATAATACAATATTTAAAGCAGAGGAGGACTGTACTAGTAGTAAGCATTACTGGAATCAAAAGTTAAATCAAGCACCCATCAGGAAAAACAAAATTTAGGCCAACAAAATAAAAGCAATCAAAGATATTGTAGCAAGTACCAACTGCTTCACTCTATGCTTTCCTAATTTGGCATAACAACAACACAAGAACAGGCCTTCATGTGTTGAACATCATGTTGCCATCTTCAACCACTCATCCACACTGATGGAAAGTGGAAGCAAAAAAGGAATTTTATAATTTATCATGGAAAACCAAAATTTGATCATATTAGATAACAAAACCTATGACCTATGACCTTTATTTGAAGCTATATCAGTCAAATACACATTAAGTTAATCAACTATAGTAGCCAATTTCATGCATGGTTTGTTATCAAATACGCCACAATTGGTGTAGCAATAAATTTGAAACATGTCTACAAAACAGTTTTACCTATTGCTGTAATAATTCCACTAAAGAAAACCTGGCGGCGATGCTTTTTCACCATGTCCTTGCCCCCTTCATCACCATTTTTCTGCTCTCAAGTGCATTATCAAACAGTCGATACACAGTTCAATACTTTTGGGTAAATACAGATGCTTCACATGCCAATTTGGAACAATCATTCAGTAATAACACATAAATATCATGCAAACCTTTTTGCTTTTCACCTCAGAATGCTGAAAATGTGTTGGTTCTGGTATAAAATTGGCAACCATGGCAAAGAAGACAACACCAGCAAAAAACTGCATCGTTTCAGCAATAACAATTAACTTCAGAGAAAACACAAATGGACCATGGAATAGAAGTTATACATAGCAATTAGAATGAAACTCATAAGATATAGTTAACCCAGAGGTTGCCCTTCAAAAACCCAATTGAGTTCATAGCATTATGAGCCAAATCAAGGAATGATATGCTCAACATTAGACCAGCAGCAAAACCCTGCAAGGAGACGCCAGAGTGTTAGACAAGATATCTGCTTACAATGTATCTATTTCTTAAAACAAAAGAAAAAAGCTCAATATACAGAAGGCATTAACTTTAACCAGCTCTTTAAAATATTACCTAGCATTCTTGGATTAAATAAATATAAACTGGGAAAATTTTAACCGAGAAGAACTTGAAAAATAAAGCATAAAAAGATAAATGGGGAAAAACAAGCAGCTAAGCAAATAAAATTCCTAGAACAAATGAGACTCTGCTAAACAAGATGACATTTGTTACGCATTGAAAAATTTTAATAATTCAAATTTTCTTGATGTGTTTATGTTATTTTGGAAATCACATAAATAGAATATGTTCAATGAAAATCAGTTTAAAATGTTAAAAGGCTAGAACCAACTTAATTTATTCAGACAAGAGTATTTTAAAATTTTAGTTATTCTACTACACTAGCCTATGCTAGTTAAAGTTTTTTTTTTTCTTATACATCATCTTCCTTTTAACTCCTGTAGAATTAACATCTTTTGAAAAAATCATGCATCACTTTTTCCAGATATACAATAAAAAAAAAAAGGATTCAATACTTAATTATTAGCAGGATGCAAAAGTTAGTACTCAAAAAATTCAATAGTATAAATTTAACAGTGAATGTTCTAGCATCAGGAAGTAGTTGAAAAATTAGTAAAGGATTTCAGCTTTCAGCATTGGAACTAGACCTTGTGGCATTACCTGTAAAAGCCCAAGCATTTTCAAATTAGGAGCTTGATTAACAATTACAATAAGAGCACCTGTTCAATGATGATGGACATGGTGTTAGAATAAATAGCAAAACTTTTCTGGAATTAATTGCATATATTTATTGTCTGAAAAATGAACACCAAATAACTAAGTAAAGAAGAAAACGAAACAGGGGAAACAAACAGGTTATACAATTGGAGATAATAACATATTGTTTTGGGCTTAAGTGTTAAAATTATCTACAGAACTATGGAGTATAACGTAATGATGTTATTAACTAAACAAATATATTAGAGACCAAGTATTCGACAATCAAAAACTTGGCACTTCATCTGGTAATCAAGTCTTAGCCATCAGTGAAACCAAGGGTGATGATTGAGATAACAGAGATGCATGGGCGCTTGCCGGATAAGTATTAAAGCAAAAAACATTCTCATGTTTTCTATCAGAAAGCAGCAGCTGAGCAGAACAAAGGCACCTCATTTTCTATAAGAAATCAAGTGCTTCAAATCTGGCCAGATATCTAACTACAAAACTAGAGGTTAATCAGAGATATATTCAGAATCAGCTATCTATTTCCTTTTTCTTTTATCACAAAACAGCAAATGTTTCCTGCAATAAACAGGGTATATGTTCTCTGACAGTCTTTCTCATTGTACACCACCTAGATCAGTAAATGTGGAGTTCAAAATCTCCCTATGAAATACAACAAATAAAAGCATTTCTTATTTTGTTTGGGATTTAATCCTTTAAAACTTGAATAGAATACTATTAACATAGGAAATTTTCTGCTCGTAAATCCTCAAGGAGTTCTCTGCAAGAAAATTTTATGGTTAAACGATGCACCAACAATAGCTCGGACAAAACATTATGACTGTGTACGAATTGCCAACGTGTGTAATTCATATTATCATTTTGAAGGATTGGAACTTTAGCAGAAGAAGGCCATTGCATGCTGTTTGCCTACAATCAGGTATATTTTTCAGTTTCACATGAAATTCAAGAAACAAATGTTAGAAGTTGTGTTCTGATTCATAGACTTCTAAAATGTACCACTGCTTCTCACATACAACAAATTTACCTAAAAGGTCAAAAACTTACAACTAAGAAAGAGGAAAAGAAAGGGCAAAAACACACAGTTAAAAGTACCCAGAACCACATACGTCACAAGTAAAACAAATAAAGGGAAACAAAGAAAAGACCGGTATCTAACCTAGAGAAGTACTGAATCCACCCACAAGTGAGAGAGCAAGCGCCACCATAACCTGAGAATCCATGGAAAATTTGCTTCTCTATGGTAAAGGTGTGGGAGAATGATAATTCTTGGAGAGTTTTGAGTTTTGGACTGATATTTGACTACCCAAAAATATAAATATATGGTCAGGAAGATAATAATGGGAACAAAAATGAGCAATTGCGAAAGACAAACACGTAAGTGATGCAGAAGAGAAGGAATAATTACAGAAAAAGAAAGAGATGGTCGAAGAAAAAGGGTGCTAAATGGAGGGTATTAGGCATGAGTGTCAAGTGTTGACGACCATTTTCTTGCTCCGCAGACTATACCTAACTTCAACCGATTGTATTTTACAAGTGCTTGCTTTTACTTTTCTAATACTAATATTTTGATTTGCTAATTTCATATACATACATACATATATATATGTATATATTATTTGCTGGATTCCTTTCTCTCCCACTCTTCTTACGACTCCAATGTCGAAGCAAGCCCCTCTTTCGGAATCTGTTATCAGGATTGGGAAGACCCGACCTACGACCACGGTACGGGCTTAACGCCCAATTCAACCCAATTTCACTCTTAACTTCTGTAAACTATTTACTCAGCCCATTCTTCTAAAACAATAGTGAAGCCCATATGCTTAATAATTAATTATTAATTAATAAAACCAATTAAATTTTGTCAAATATCTTTAAGAGATTGTTTTAATTATATAGTATTGATATTTAGATGTTCCACTTTCCATTAAAGAAAAACAAATATTTTTTTTGAATGATTAAATAATATTTTGAGTGAAAAATAAGTAATAGCACTATACTCATTTTTATACGCAGTAAAAATTTAGAAAATGATCCAGTTACCATTTTATTAAAAAAAAATGTTAAAATAAAACTAATAAGGGAGGATCATCAAACTTATCCGAAATCGAATAATTCCAAAATTCCAAAATTTAACTGATTCAAATCCGATTTAAATCCAAATTATCTTATTTAATTGCCACTTGGCATTGACCCCCATTCAAATAAAACCTAAAAAAAACGCGTGGAACAGAGAAAAATCAAATGAAGCCGAAGATGAGTAAATGATATGGTTTTTCTTATTTGTGTTGAAAAAATGAACCGAGTAAAGAGTATACATATTATGGTTAATATTAGTTATAGATTTAATAAATTTTTTAATTACCTATTATTATATATTTTTATTATATATAATACAATAATAATAAAATTAGTTATTAATTTCAATTTAATTTTTAATTTACATATTTAAATTTATACATTATATATAATATAATGGAATAATAGTAGTAATCAAATAGAAACATTAAAATTAGCTTATGTATTGCTATGTAAATTTTACGTTTGAGACTCAAATTTAATTAATTTGAATATAAAGATTACATATTACATGTTGTAAATATCAATAACTAGTAAAATTTTAAAAATTAAAAAATAAATAGTAGTGCTGTCATTTGCTAATAAGATAAAATTATAAATGGATTAGTTATAATTTAGATAGTATTTGGTATCATTTTCAACATTACCATGGTAATGTAATCACCAAGGTGACCTTATCACTCATGATATGAAATTATTTTGTTTGATTAATAATTATTAATTTATACAATTAAAGATCAATATGTTTGATATTATTAAAAATTAAAAATTATTTTATTCAAAAATATAAAAATAATCTTTTTTATTATAAAATTACACATGCTAATAATTTAAATGTTGTTTAAAGATAATAATTCATAAAATATAGTAATATATTATTTATTTTACAATAAATATAATTGACTTATTAAATATATTTGATTATTAAGTAAATTAATTTTTAAATTTAAATTATGTAAAAAAACATTTGAATTAGAAAATAAAATTAATTTATTAAAATCATAATAAAAAATTAAGACATTATATTATATGTGAAACATTAAAAAAAGTAAAAATATATATACAAATTATTTTTTAACTTATTATTAACGAATATTAGTTTGAAAATAAAAATTTATAATCTAAAATAATTACAATTTTAATAAAATCAAACTTTTAATTCACATATTAAATAAGTAATATTGATTATTACTAATTTTACATATCAACTTATTTTAGCGATAAAAATTTCTCATTCTTTTGGATAGAAATTAATCACCTTTTCAAGATAATGATCTAATCACTCTCAATGATTCAAGATTTTTATCACATAAGATTACTAAGTGTTTACCAAACATAATAATTTAATCACCATATACAGACCATTATGATTTTTGAAATTTTCATCTTGTATCAAATACTAACTTAATGAGATTTTTAATTGGAGTTAAGCATATTAAATTTAAAATTCTTTTAGGGAATAAACAATAAATCTTTTTTACTTTAAATTTAAAATTATCTTCAAATTTGACTTTTTTTATACATTATATATAAGTTATCCTTGCAAGGGGTTTTTTTTACTACCACAGTAGTCATAAATAATATTTTATATTATATTTGTTTTAAGTTATATGTAATTAATTATTTATGAATTTAATCATTTATAAATGTATCATATCTATGAAGTTAGATTAATTATGGATGAATTTTTTTTCGAATTTTAAAATATCAAGCATTGAATCATGATCATTGAAATTAAAATTTAATATTTTATTAACAGATTATGTGATTGTTGAAGTTGATGAATATATTTTATATTTAATGTTATTTTAAATTTAGATTTATATCCATTGAGTGGCAAAAAATCCATGAAACAAATATAAGTTGTTACTGTGAATATATGTTCTTTTTATGTATTTATTTAAACTCTTCATTCATAAATATCAATTATGACTATATTTTTTATATATTTAAAAATTCCATTTTCAGTTTTTTTTTTTAAATGTTTTTCTAAAGAATAAGTTGTTGGTTTTGAATCAATAGAAATTACGGTTTGTTTTCTTTTTTTTGTCTATACATCAAGAGTTTGAATTGAATGATTTTTTGACATCAGGTAATATATATATTTTTAACAAATAAAAACACTATAAGCGAAGCGTGGGCAAACAATCTAGCGATTTATTAATTCAAGGATAAAAAATTAAGATAATTTTTTAGAAAATTAAAATTAAATAAATTATCAAAGTCGAAAATTTAGAAAAGAAAACAGAGAACACCTACTATCGTAAACTTAGTACCTACAATTTTGAAACTAATTTTCAATTTATCAAATGACACCTAATTTAATTCTTAAAATCAGCTGTTAATCCTAACTATTTGCTGACGTTGCAGGATCACATCGGTGATCATTTGCCATGTATTATTATTATGTTAGTGATCATGTGTCATATAACACTATCACGTCATTTAATATGTTACATGACATATTATCGTTGCCGTAAAAAATGATGTGTATATGATTAAATGGACATTTTAAATAATTAAATTGAAAAAATTAATAATTAAGCCAATATTTTAAAAATAGAATCATAATTGAGGAAACAATTGTGCATTTTATCCAAATTTTTTATTGTTTTTTATGGGTTAATTTTGTAGATTGGAAATTAACTTTTGGTCTCTATCAATTTCATAAATTAAATTCAAATCAATTCTCACATTAAGCGTATAGTATTTTGCATTGAAATTGAGATAAAATATTAGAAATATAGACCACTTTTTTATCATCACAATAATTTCATATTGCACTCAGATCCCTAACTGAAAATCAGGGACCAAAATAATAATCCAAACACATAACCACCACCACCGTCCTCGCTCTCATTTTCTCGGTCGAAGTCTCATAACAAGTCAAATAAAAAATAATTAACCGTAATAAAAGTAAATAATATTTAATGCCGAAGAAGAGCAAGAACTGAGAAGAGCAATGATGACCAAACGGCGGTGGAAGGGACTGTGACGAAAGATCCAGCTCCAGCTTCAATCGACGGCGATGGTGACGGTGCCAGCTCGCTATCTTGGGCTCTCACAACACCCAATGAGAGAAGAGCCGCTGCGAAGAAAATGTACAAAAATGCGCAGTTGATGCTAACGTGAGCCATTTTCTGAAAAAATGAAAAAAAGGAAGTAGAGAAAATTGTAGTGGAAATTGGGAGATTTGTTACAAAAGACGGAGTGAAGATTCGTCATATTTATAGCCATCGCTAAAATCTCTAATCTTTAATCGAACGTTTTAAAATTGTTGATTAATTCAACTAATTAATGGTTTTGGGGACCACCGACCAAAGACAAACAGGTCAGCTTTTGTTGTGGTCCCTAAAGTTCTCTGGGGTTTACGTTTAAGCATTTTGCAGCGACATTTCCTTTGGAGATTGTTCACTTTTAACCGTTGATCTATCAGTGAAAGTTCATCATCACACGGTCAAAAGAAGACAAAGATGCACTCTCTAGAAGCATCAGAGTCGTGTCTCAGCGTGACGAAACAGCAATATGGGGTTGGGGGACTGGGAAGGACACGTGGCGGAAGATGAAAAGGCCAGCGGTTGACAGCGATGATGATAATGGAGATAATTATGCTTAATTAACTTTTGATTAAAAACTAGCCGTTAGATCCCAACGGTCGCCTCCTTGTATTCGCTTTCAACTAATTTCTTTCAATTGCATTTGTCCTTTTCTTTTTTCCGTGCAATTATTTTGCTTTTGTTTTTGTCCCCCATTCCCTTTTGCTTGACAAATTTGGTGTTTCCAAATTCAAAATAGTTCAAGGCTCATAATTCAATGAATAAATTAGATTTTAGAAAAAATATTTAACAAAATACTTATTGATCTTGTTAAGTTCAATTAATAATAATTGGAAAGCTGTACTAAAAGAATTAGAAATAGAAAGAGTAAATAAATATTTTAAGAGCTTAAATTTTTTTAAAAGAAAGCTATTCTTAGAACTTAGATGAAACCATAGGTAAGGAAATTCTTACTTTTGGTTACTTATACTACTAGCTGATAATGTAATTCCAAGAATCAATTTTAATTATAGGAAAAAGATTGATTTTTTTTATGTGATTTATTAATAAAATATTAAAATTTTAATTTTAATGAACATAGTTTAGTTTCAACGAATAGCGTTTAATCTATTTTAGTTTCAAGTATAAAAAAATTAAATATTTTTTAGTGAAAAAGACAATTTTTATTTTTTAAAACTATTATAGTAATTTTGCATTAAATGTGTTAATTGATAAATAATATATAGTATTTGTTAATTTAATACAATGGAATAAAATTTTGATTTGGTAATTTAATTTATCGTCATTAACAATTATATAATATTTGTTTGAAACAAAAAATTAAGATGTAATAGTTAAATGTGTCATTTACTTCCATTACCTAATAATCAACCATTCAACCTCCATGTATAAAAAAATCATTTGTTATATATATTTTGTGCAACCAACCTACCAAGGAAACCTAATTTTCAATCATTACCCAACATTAATTGCTTCATCTTTACAAACTGTAAAATTGGTTTTAAATAAGTAAAAAAGATTAGAAGAGGCAAGAGCAAGCACTGCAACTTGACAAATTTGACATGCATCTTGGTTGAGGAATCAGAAACTAATCGTCTTGGTAATTTTGCCACTTTACATGCAGGGGCAGGGCTAATGGCTTCCGCTAAGCCTGATGAGCTGATAACAAGGGTGAGCAAAAGAATGCTCCTTCTAGCAAAATAATAAACAAGAAATGATAATTGAAAATGAGGTAGTAGTAGAAGAAGAAGAAGAAGAAGAAGAAGAAGATATAAAGGGCAGCAACAGAGAGTTTCTGAATTAATGGAGCATGATCGTGTTCCTCAAGGGTCAAAGGCAAAGAAGAGAAGCTCAAAACATGATTCTGCCTTGACAGGTAAATACTCGTCTCTCAAACCTTGATGACTGTACTTGCAGTTGCAGTAGCAGCTAGTTTTATGAAGTTGAAGTGATATACGTTGCCTTATCCAACTAAACAAGAGTAAAGGAGTAGTTTCCATCTAGGACCAGGTTGGAAATAATATTACAACATAATCATACCACCCGATCATCCTTCAATGGCAGAATATGGATTTTATTGCATATTTCAAATACTCTGGTCATAAATACCACACTTGTCCCATACCATATATGGGGAAAAAAAACCAATGAAATTAACTGAAGAAGATTATGAAATATTAAAACTCATCTGAGTCACTCACCCTCATTTGTTCCATGGATGTTATCTGGAGATTTCAGTCTTACAAAATAAACGGTCAAATACACGAGTTCTGGTTTTAATGGGGGTCAAGTCAAGTCAAGTAAAAGTTGCTGGAGTTCTGGCTCACTCGTTGGGCGAAATTAGATTGGATGACTTATTTCACAAACTCATCTGTTGAAATCAGAATTCCTCTCTCCAACTATTTCTGATTATTGTTGATCAATTGTAGTGCAACTATGTTTCATTGAAGAGGAACAAAGTATTATAAAAATCTCCGTTCATTGAAGAGGTACAAAGGTAAGCCAAGTCAAAGTTGCTTTAGTTCCAATACTGCAGCATCTAGGTAGTGTGACTGGCTTTAGCATGAGCCAATTTTCTACATGGTTTGGCTTCTGCTATGCCAAGGACAGTCCTTATGTAAGTGGGCAGATGAGACCCATATGTCATAGCATCAAGGATATCTCACCTCTTCTTAATCGGATCACAAGCTGAACAATTACTAAAGAATATATATTGCACTAAATAAGGAATTCATCAGTTATTTTTCTAGTGCAAACTCTTTTTCCCTGGCTTTTTGTTCTTGCCATGAATGTTCTTGCTAGGCTTTCGACTTTAGCAACTAGTGCTCTAAATCACGGGTACCCAAAGCAGAATTTGTGTCAAGTATTATTGACATTGAAACATGATCACGAGAAGGACAATTTCAGAATATGATGCTAAGAGATAAACAAGAACAGAAAAACTAGAAGATAAAATAATTTATAGCAAGAGGAAGTTTAATTAAGCTGCCAAAAAAAAGGTTGTTGACATAAAATGACAGTTTCTTTTCCCTCAAGAATTAGAGTCACTAAAATTTACAGTATTCTGTTTAGTCATTGCTTTCCAGCAGAAAGGATTTATATGATTTCAGTGGCAATGATATATTTTCTTAGTGTTAATTCTGTTGTTTGCTGAACTTTTTTAGGCACAAAGCAAACGATTTTCACAGGAACTTGATTAAGATGACCAACTGAAATGTAGTCCGCAACTTCTTTGGTCCAAAATATGAGTACAATTAACCGATAATGTGGTCTGTAGATGTCTAATCATGGCATTTTTTGAGCAACATACGAGAAGAATGTTGCAGCAGGAACTTGATGCTGAAGTGAGAGGTAAATACAGATGGAATCAAATTGAATCTGCGTCAGATTCAAAACACAATTAAGTTACCTACTTGGTATTAATTACTATATATGTAGTGGTGGATTGTTTAAGTTATCCTTTTCTATGATCCACTGGTATTTTGTTTTTAGCATTCATTAGGCTCTTTGTCAGCCAAATTGCTGTTTCTCTTGATGACACAGCTTCTTCCCCGAATGGTCTTAGCACACCTGCAAGTTCCTCAAGTCTTTCCTGTCTAAGTAAACTTGCCCAAATCTCCAGCAGTGATTCCAAAGCTTCTGCTCTCTGTTGGCTCTGAGGATCCAGTTTGATCCTTCTTTCATAATCATGCAGCATAGTTAGTGTACTCATTATTGAGAAGTCATCAGAAGTGCCTCTGCTTAGCTCTTGCAGATTTTCTTTCCTCACCTGCTTGGAACTGCTAAATTTATTTTCTTTTGCTCTAACTTGATTTTCGCGTGGAAGTCTCCATCTACTTGCTACTGTTGTCTTTTGTGGAGAAGCACTGATTGAATACAAGTTAGGAGTTTCTGTTGCATGTAAACAGCACCTAGGTATCTTATCATGTACAAACTGGCTACTTTTCTCCAATTCTGTTCCCTTTTTACATCCAGTAAGAGCACCAATACGTGTGGAATCCACACTCAAAATTGCCAATCTCTTGCAGCGGCTCCCATTATCATCCTTGCTTTCTCTACCTGCCTCTTCAATAACTTGAAATGGTTCCTGCACTATCTCTGATTGTTCAGAGGTGAACTTTTGTTGCGCGTCTTTGTGATGAGCACTTGATGTACATTCCAAGATAGTTCTTGAGCTACTGGCACCATTTACATTCGGATGTACTACCATAAATGCATCAGCTTTTCCTTCATAAACAATTCTCAACTCCTTTGATGGGCTTGTCCTTTCAGCTTTTGGATTCCCAGTGTCGCATTTGTTGGGAAAAGGGCTTTCTTTTGGCTTACCCTTGATGCTTAGTTCAGACTTTACCGGGACAAAGACAGGAGATAGATTATGGCATTGAGCAAGATATGGTTGTAAATGTGGATGCCTCAACAGCTCTGCGGCCTGAAGTATAGTAAAAAACAAGTTTCAGAACATTTCAATTCTCTTACAGGAAATAGAGATGGAATAATTGAACTTACTGTTGGTCTGTGTTCTGGGTTCTTTCGTAGCATGGTTTTGATCAATTGCTTCCTGCAGTTGGGAAGATTTCCTTGCATTGGTTATGAACTTCTTGTGATATGTATTTTGCATAATATTCTATATGTTGGAAATTATTTTGAAAATAACATCTACTTACAGCGTAGAGGAATACACTGTTGGGAGTGGAGAAATGGAGGATCGATTGATTTTGTTGACGAGTCCTGCCATATCCTGTTTAAAGAATTATAGCCACTAAAACTTTACTTTGACGTTTTTCTGGAGGACAATGGAAAATTGATAAATACAGGTTAAGCCAACACTTACAGGAGCCCTGAATGCAGGTTGATGGGCAGCTATTTCAAACATGCAGCAACCTGTCAGAAAATTTCAACACCAAGGATGTCAAGCACTAGGTTCATGGTCCTAAATAAAACAAGTTTGTCAGATTAATCTTACCTAGGGACCATATATCCGACTTGTAGCCATATGGTATATCTGCAAGAAGCTCTGGACACATGTACTTTGGAGTGCCCACAACCTGGGCAGAATAGAAGTAAAATGTGCATATATCAGCAACTAGCTCCTGAATAATTGATAGCCTAAACTAATCAATTAAAGTCAGTAGCTCAGAAAAAAAGAGAAATTTCAGTGTGTCAAGAAATAATAGGTTCTTTGCAAGGTTGATGGGTCATGTTTTAGAAGAATTCTAGCCATAGAAGATAAAACAAGAAAGAGAAGAGTAGAGGTAATAGGAGCTCAGTTTCTATGAGATAACGTGAGATAATGCAGCCATTACTGTTGAAGTGAGATCCTCTTTGTTTAGTAGCTTCGCTAGTCCAAAGTCACCTAATATCAAGGCTAACATGAGTAAGTACAGTTGCAAGTAAAAGAAAGTGAAATATAGAGAATACAAGTTTCACGAATTTGAGTTTCTCACCTAGCCGAATATTATTGTCTTTTGTAAGGAAAATATTGGAGCACTAAAATTTAGAAGCAAAGTTAGTTGAAAAAGATATGGCAACTGAACTCTGATTAACAGAACATAACTGAACATTCATATTTCATACTTTCAGATCCCTGTGAAGGACACGGTTGGAGTGGAGGTAGTCGACTGCCAGCAACAGTTGTGTTAGCCATTTGCACAGCTTCTGGATGAGAAGAAGGGAGGTGGTGAGCACTAAGTACAAATTAAAATGTCTAGTCCCTAGGGTTTTTTTTTTTTTTCTCTCATGTATTCCATTTCCATTACCTTTTCTGGAAGAAATGTCCCCCTACTTTTCTTTATCATCTCAGCCCTGCAATCACAATGTGTATATTAGCAAGCCTGTAGGATAATTAGCTATTTTTGGTACTAAAGTCTAGTTATATATTTCAGCTTTCTGTATCTGCTATGGTTTGAAACTCCAGCTTATAGCCTAAAAAATTGAGATGAAAAAAAAAGTTGTAAAAAGCAAAGAGGGTGAAAGAAAAATCATCTTAAAATTTTATTCTGTAAGTCGGAATCTGTCAATTTGTTTAAGCCAACATTCCAGAGAGCTTTTAAGGTTAACTTTGATGTTTTCTTATCTAGAACAAACTTACACGTCTCCTCCCTCACAATAAGTTGTCACAATGCAGAGATGGGATTCCTGTAAAAAGAAGAATGGATCCAAAGCGGAAAGTTATGGTACTGCTATGCCAATTATATTTGCATATTTTATTCAAGAATAAAACACTTTTGATTGTTTGATTAGGTGCTCAAACCATCCAGACAATCAACAAAAATGTGAATATGCTACCTTTTCCACCCATCCATCCTTGTACTCCACGATATACGGATTGTTAAGGTTAGCTATCAAATTCATCTGCAACAGAAATAAGCAATTGAAGTAGAATCATTTTTCGCATAAGATTTCACAATTTAACCATGTAACCAAAATCTTTCTCCATAGCCTTCTGATAAGCACCAGAAATGAAATAAAAGTCATATATATCAGATGGAAACTATTTGTTTGCCTATAAGAATTATACTACAGAGCCAATATCTTCAGTTCAACTTCGATGTTAGCACAAGATCATTGCTATGTCAAATATCAGAAAAATTATTCAAATACTTGATCACCATTTCCTAATGTTTAAGACCTTAGATGTTCCATGCTAGTATTTTTTTCCTTTTTTGCAGACCAAACACCTTGAATGGTATTTCAACTCCACTAAGAACCAATCTAATTCAAAGACAAAGGCCAAGAAATAGAGAGCACACTACATTGTGTGAAGATAGGTATCTCATACCAGGATGTTTTGATTTGTCAAAACTCAAAAAAATAGAAAGGTTTAAGGAAATCAGTATATGGGATGGAATCTATTGCATTGAGGTGACTAAATATTAGTCTAAAATAAACCGTTAAGCATGATATGATGCAAGAGAAATGTAAAAATGTGTTGGAAGCAGTTGGTGCTGAAAATAAGTATTCAGAAGACTAACCTCTTGATGCGCTGTACGCTTAAACTTCTCGGTTTGTTTAGCCAAACGAATCTTTTTCAACACATACCTACACATACCTACAGGTATCAATACAGTTGCAAAGAAAATTTATGAAAACTCCATTTTTTCAACATGTCCTAGATTTGTGGAAAATGCATTTTAATGCAGAAGTATATTTCACATAATTCCTAGATGATTGCTCTCAGATTAAATTCCAACACCCAAGTTTAATTTTCCATCACTTTTACAACAGATATAGAAAAAAAATTGAAAAAAGAAATCCAGGTAGAGAGAAAATGTGGCGGAGTATCTGATCTTACTTCTTTTTCTCAGCTTTATGAAGAACAAGAAATGCTGCCCCAAAAGCTCCTCTCCCTATCTGCTCTATGACTTCGTAATCATCCATTTTCGACATCATTTCTTTGTCTTTCTTCTCTATGAGCACCCTTCAGAGCCTGTGGAGCATAACTGAAAAGCTTTGTCTTCAATGTTCACCGATTACTCTAAGCTTTGCAGTAATGTTTGGTAGTAGTTTTTCAGGCTCTGGAACATTTAAGCCTACATGTCCACCACCATAGCATTAAATAGACATTAAAGATGATACCAGAATCAAAGTTGTCTGCAGGAAACAATGTGACAACAAAATTTTGAGTTGAGCAATGAGCTGATCAGAGGCAGGAATCATTCAAGAAACATGAACGCATATGAATTAGCATTAAATGCCATATTTATACATAGGGGAAGAGCACTGAGCAGTATTAAAAGATTACCAAGAAAAGTAGTGGCAGGAAGAATTCTTGGAAATGCCAAAGCTCAAGGAAACTTGGAGAGGTAAAGGGATAATTTGGGTTTTGAAGAAAAATAACCGGTAGAAGATGGAAGTTTAAAATGTAAAGGGAGGGAAGATTTGAGGCAAAAGCAAAGGAAGAAAAAGGGTTGTTGCGACTGGTAAGCCAACCATAGTTTAAAAATGGGAAAGCAAAAGCTTTGCTTAAATTTTCAGTTTCCTCCGGCTATCATTACTTTCCATGTGGTTGGTACGTCACTATCTCCTTAACTAAAAACTTTATTTTGTTATATATTTTTTTTTGAACTTTCAAAATCGTATAAGATTTCTCTGAAAAAAAAAAGGAATGCTGCTAAGGAAAAGGAATGGCGGGATCTATAAACTATGGTTAGCATCACCTTAGCATTTCTTCACTAATACGATTAATGTTACAAATTATATGAAATTTAAAAATATTTAATATAATACTAAAAAATTTATTTATTTGTCACGTTTCATTATTAAAAGTTAATTACATTAAAAACATATATCATATTAATTAATAAATTAATAATTTAATTACCTCATTATAAATTTTAAAATTCAAATATCATACTAAATATTTCATAATAATTTAGGAGTCATTTGTAACATTAATCTTTATGAATAATATTAAAATAAATCCTTCAACTTTACTTAAAAATAAAATAAGTTTTCAAACTTTTACGAATAAATAAAATTAATTCCTTACTTTAAAATAAAATATCTATTTGATTCTCTACTCATTGATTTAAATGATTATATTTCTAAAGGTATCAACAAACATGTTTTGGATATACATAGGCTAGCAGCATCAAAAGGGAAAAAGAAGAAAACAATTATCAGCCAAGTTGCGAAATCATAAAGGAAGTTGGGGATGAAAACTTTGTCTTTCCCCAACAACAATATTTACAGCATGTGAGCCTTTAAAGAAAATTGAATTTCACCAAATGGTTATGGTTATAGTTATAGTTATAGTGGACCATATGTTGGAGTACTTCAAATATGCATTTTACAAGTCTTTGGTAAGATAAATAAAGAAAAACAACGTTTGTGAGGGAAAAAAAAATTTACCACTAGCACTTTAAAGAAAAGCTATCTAAGTCTTGTTATGTACAGTTTCAGTGTAAATTTAATTGTTTAAGTATATTTTAATTTTTTAATTGATTATTTGATTATTCAATAATTGTAACTTAAAATATGATGTAATAATTAATTATTTAGATAATTATGATTTAATTTCTAGAAAAAAGCTATCAAACGCTTTACATTAGTCAAAAGATTACCACTGATACTTCAAATACAAAGTAAAAACAAGTTGGCGGAGTGTTGCAATTTTTTTTTTAAATTTAAATAAAAAATTTATTATTTTTTAATTTTTGTATTTTTTATGTAAATTTTAAAATACATATTGATATTAGTATTGTAGGGTTTGTAGGTAGTAACTTGTTTAAAATGTAAAATAATTATTATGAACATAATATTGAAATCCTTACTTAATAAATCATCAATACACAACTCGCCTCTTACATTATATTTAGTAATTTTAATAAAAATTAAATTAATCTTAATATTTTTTAAGTTGAAATTAATATATTATTTGTTACTCTTTGTTAAATCATTAAAAATATATTTAAACAATGATTTGCAATTTCTTTTTGCAATCACAATTTATAGATAAGAAAAAGAATTACATGTATTAAAATTTAAATTTTAAATTTACTAAACATTATATTTTAAGATAATTATATGAATCAAATTGAACATAAAAAAAATCATCATATAATCAATTTTATACACGATGATTTATATAATAATAACAAAATTTTACGTTCAAATAAATATTTAAATCTATGATAATTATTATTATTATAATTTAAATTCTTATTTTTTTATGAGTATTTAAATTTGAATATTGTATTTTTTGATCCTTCAAACAGGGAAAGGAGAGTAGTATTGAATTATGAATTTTGAATTGTTAAATAACATAAATATTAAATGAATACATGTCTATCTCTGCATGTGAAAAATAAAAAACCCCATTTACAGATGTCATTATCACTTAGATGTAGACACACGTGAATATGAGCAAGCTGGGTACTTGCAGGAAGTAGCTATAATTTGTCAACTTTGGGGAAAAATCATGGCTAAAGTGACCGTCTAGGGTGGTCCATATCCTTCTAAAGCAACACCCCCAATGGGTAGGTTGGCTAAATAAGGGGATGCGAACAAAATTCAGAATTACAATTTTGCCAACGTGCTTTATTTCCATTTAAACACCTGTACGGTCAGACATTACTTTCTAGACCCATCTAATTTTGATAATGATAAAGATAGTTGGAGTTGTCAAAGCAGCTTATCATTTTAAGATTTTTTTAAAGAATGTTAAATTATTTTTTATGTATTAAGATTTAATTTTATTTGTTATCATTTTAATAAAAATGATAAATATGATACATTTTTATGACATTTTTTTTTTGTAAATCATTATTATATGCTTTTATATTATTATATCTTCTCATATGCCTATTTTCATATTTCAAATAATGAATGTTCAAACAATAATTATTATAATATGGGATTCAATTTTAGAAACTCATTCATAGTGATAAACTTGATCTGTGGAGATTATTTGAGCAAGTTGTGTAAATGGAGTTCAAAAGCAAATAGTGAAGATTGTTTGAGCATTTATTAAAAAGCAAAATAAAGACATCTCATAAGCATGTGGTCCTTTACAGTGATCTATCCATAAGCAAGTCTATGTTTAATAAATGATCTTTAAAGAAAGTATTTATATTTGAAATGAGAAATGACAATCTTTCTTTACCTTTCAGGAAAATGAAAATTTTCCATTACTACCCCTTTAAGTCTATTATGATTCTTTTTCTAAAAAAACTCTAACCAATGATTATCCTCCACATTGAACGGTAAATTTTGGGAAAGATTTGTTTGTTTGTAAAGAAAAAAAAGAATTGTAAAAAGTCTCAAAGATGAAGAATGAAAAAAAAAACCCTTCATTAAAAGAAATGTAAATGCCACAAATGATCTAAGAAGTAAAATAGAAGGAACTCTTTGTGAATGAATTCTTCTTGAAGAGAAACTAATGAAGAAGAAAAGATGTGATAAATAAAAATAAAGGTAAAGTAAAAAAAGAAAATATGAAAAAATGAGGCAACTAATGTGCTTCAAATGATGAAATGATACTTTGGTTTATAACCCTTCAAGCACATGTTTTGAGCTTGTTTTATCTTTTTTCATAACCCTTCATCTTAGCTTACGTTATGTCCCTTAAAAATCTATTTTGATCAAATATGAATGCTTAAATTAAAGAGTCAAATATTGAACTAAGACATGCTTGTGATAGGATAATGAGACCATCATTTGTTCCAATATTTTGGGATTGGTTCGAAATTAGATAGGTATATAAATAATGAATGAAGTGAAAATTTTAATAATTTTTTTTGCTAAACATATATATATATATATAAGGTATGGGTATAAGACGTGTATTATAGTATCCGTCCCTATCCTCATACCCAATAAAAATTTAAAATCATACATATCCTTATCTTTATACTCACAATATAATATTAATCTTCATTTCAATTCAGATAAAAAATTAAATTCACCATTGTATGGATAAATTGATATTCTTATCTACAGGTAAACATTTTTTTTTGTTAAAATAAATAAAGGAAATAAAATTTAAATTAGAAATAAAAATAAATAAAAAATATTTACCCAACAAAGCCTTAACAAAATCAAATTTAAGATTTTTAATTAGATATTTCCCTTATCGTTCTTCTATGTACCCAATGCTAACAAAAAATAAAATGTTCGAAATAATTTAAAAAATAAAAAATAAAAAATAAAATGTTGGAAAGGTTGAATCTATGAGTGGCAATTGGATAGAGTTTAAGTTATTTAAGACCCCGCTATTTTAACTTAGGCCACTTTTAGTTTCACATCATTGATGTTTTAAAACCAATTCAAGTTTGACTTACTTGTAACAGTAACTTCAAGTTCAATCATTATACATTTAATTTAAACTGCTTTTTAAAATGAAGAAATAGTAAAAATTCTAATACTTCATTAATTTAAGTTTTTCAACCAATTTAGGCGTAAGTCAATAGGTATCTAAATCATTTTAGATTGTGGACAATTAAAGCCTTTTCTAATTACTCAAACTATTTTTAAACCCGTGTAATGCTTGGAAATATATTCATATATCAATAAATTTTTTTAAATGATCATATATGCTATGAAGTTTTATAAACAATTCATAACTTATATAATCATTTTTATTTAAATTTATATATTTTAATATAATAAAATAAATTAATTAGATATTAAATATACTTATGCAATTATCATCAGTTCTAAAGAAAACTCAAACTATAATTTATTAAACCAAAATAATCTATAAACAAAAGACAACAAGGTTTTCGATTTTAAGAAATTAAAAATTTTATTCTTAAAATCAATATCGCATACAAACTTTTTTCATAGGATATTCTTTCATAAGTTATTGTTGAAGCAAAGATGCAACAATTAATTCTTTAGTATTTCTTGCTATCTTTGAAGTAAATGTCATTTTACTAGATGAGCCAATAGATTTTGCAAATAAAGGTTAAGAAATAGATAAAATAGTAATTTATAATTTGACAATAGTTAAGTTATAATCTAGATTATATAACTTTATAATAAACATAATCATTATAATAACCTTATACATACCTCTTCTAATAAGTTTTGACATTTAAGCTGAAGATCAAAATAATACACTTTATTCACTGTAAGTTTAGTATTACTTGTATCAAGATTATACTTGATTGCCTTCATCTTGAATACATAAAATTTACCTATGAGATCTTCAAATATCTCTTGAATTTTATAATCTTTTTTTTTTTAAAATCATAAGTATAAATATATCTTTAATTAATTTGAATATTAAATAATATTAAAATAATTTTTAACTCAATACCATAAAATTTACCTTTGAGATCTTCAAATATCTCTTGAATTTTATAATCTCCTTTTTTCTAAATCATAAGTATAAATATATCTTTAATTAATTTGAGTATTAAATAATATTAAAATAATTTTTAACTTAATACCTTAATAGATATTTCATAAAAGATCCTTAATATCTCTATTAATTAAATCCTTAAATTTTATATTAAATTATATGAATATGGCCCTTCCAGAATTATCATATACCTCAATATTCAACTTCTATCTATAAAAAATGCATAATTCTACAATTATAAATATAATATAATAATTTAAAATACTTTTTATCATTATCATGGAATAATAATTTTTGTATGTATCAAATATACAAAATATAAATACTAATTACCTTGGAGTTGGATTAAGGACATCAACATTGCAGGAATAATATTGGAATTTTCTATAAACTTCAGATAGTTTCTTGTTATACCCACATGACATATAGTATTAACCAAAAATGGTATAACTTTCATAATAGTGACTTTACTGATGAAAGACTTTTCTTGTATATACCCATCATCTTTAAATAAATCATCAACAAAAAAAAAAGAAAAAAGAAAGCTAATATCATAGTTAAAGAAATATAAAATATAAGTATAAAAGGAGAATAACCAAGAAACAATGTAAAGTGAAAATTAGAGAGAATATTGAAGTAGATTTTAGTAGTGACTAAAAGATATAAAATTAGTGAAAAGTGGTTAAAGATGCATTATGCTTAACTTATTTATGCAAAAAGTGTGTTATAGGTTAATTAATAAGATAATTTTAAATTATTAAAGTTAATATTGAAATAATAAAAATTGTGAGTGAATAATGATCTAACAATGGCAAGTTGATTGATATTAAAATATTTTATTTTGTCATTAACATTTAAAGATCCCTTAATTTTGAACAATGAAACAAATTAAATTGATTATATTTAATAATGGAAATAAAACAAAAATTTTAATTAAATCAACGTGCATTAATATTAAGATTTTAAAATTATAAAACGTTACAAACAAAATAAAATGAAATCCAAGTACATTAATATTTTATCAAATGAAATTTTACCAAATGAAATTAAATGAAATCATATTTAATGAAATATAAATCTATTAATCAAATATAAATTAATAAAATACTTTATTCCATTAATTTAATTATGGAGAATTAGTTTGATATATTTGCTTATTATATTTACACATAAAATACATTAATTACTCAAATGGATAATTTATTTAATCAAATATAAATGTATCACATAATTGATTAAAAAATCAATTATTTTATAATTATAATTGCAGTATTTATTAAATTATTAATTATATATTGATTGATTTAATTTATCAAATTAAGAAATTTTTAAAATTTTAATATTTTTAATATAAATTGAATTGAGGGTAATTTAAAGTCAATAATAAAAACATAATATAGTTAAATAATAAGATAATTTTAAATTATGAAAGTTAATATTGAAATAATAAAAATTATGAGTAAATAATGGTTTAACAATGACAAGTTGATTGATATTGAAATATTTTGTTATGCTATTAACATTTTAAAATCTCTTAATTTAAAACAATAAAAAAAATTAAATTTATTATATTTAATAATGACAATAAAACAAATTAAATTTCAATTAAATCAATGTGCATTAATAGCAAATAATAAAATTATAACACGTTACAAATGAAATCAACGTGCATTAATATTTTATCAAATGAAATCATATTTAATAAAATATAAATGTATCGATCAAATATAAATTAATAAAATTTTTATTCCATAAATTTAATTATGGAGAATTAATTTGATATATTTGTTTTATATATTTACATATGAAATATATCATGAAATACATCAATTTCTCAAATAGATAATATTTAATCAAATATAAATATATCAAATAATTAATTAGAGAATCAACTATTTATAATTATAATTGTTGCATTTATTAATTTATTAATGTATTAATTATATATTGATTAATTTAATTTGTCAAATTAAGAAATTTTTTAAATTTTAATACTTTTAATATGAATTGAATTAAGAGTGATTTAAAATCAATAATAAAAACATAAATATAATCAATTTAGTTTTTTGAATTATGTTTGCTTTATATATTTACACATGAAATACATCAATTGTTAGATACTATATTTAATCAAATATAAATGTATCAAATAATTGATTAGAGAATCAACTATTTTATAATTATAATTGTAGTTTTTATTAATTTATTAACTATATATTGATTGATTTAATTTGTCAAATTAAGAAATTTTTAAAATTTTAATACTTTTAATGTGAATTGAATTGAGAGTGATTTAAAGTTAATAATAAAAATATAAATATAAATCAATTTAGTTTTTTAAATTATTTTTAAATTAAAAATGTATTAAATAAAAAAATGCATTTATTAGATATCAAGTGACGATTTTTAAGACCTTTCACATGTCAACATTTTAAGCTATCTACATAGGATTTTTTTCCATTTTTGCCAAAAGCTTTTATAAGATTTGGATTCACCTTTTAAAGTTAATTCATGTTGGGTTAATTGAATGAATTACTATTAAAAAAATCATATTATATTATATATTTTTTAATTATTTAGTTGGATATATTTTAAGATTTATTTGAATGGATATTAAAATTAATTTTATTTAGATTAAAAATAATGGTGATGATAAAATTAAAATGTTATAATGGTAAGATTAAAATTAATTATTGAAATATGTATTTGAATATAAATATAATATGTATTTGAATGTAAATACAATACTGACAATAAAATTAAGTATGACAATTGATTGTCTTTGATCGAGTAATAGATTGTCATAATTGAAAATCCTTTTCTTTTTTAATTTTATACTAAGATTGTCCTAAGGTCTTAGGTTACATTTAGAATTCTTTTTTCAATTTTATACGGATTCCATTGACTACCTTATGATCTAATGAATACTAGACCCTTCCCTCTCCAATTGGATATTAAAATGGTTTTGACCTTATCTAAAGTGGAAGAGTATTACCCAAATGCACCTCATAATGTAGTTGAGGTCCAAAACTTTATTAGATTCCACCGTACCTAAAGTGTGACCAAATTTAAATCAAAACTTAGAAAATAATTAATATACTCCTAAAGACAAAAATTAAATGATTTTCTTTTATTATCATTTATAGATATGAAATCTTCATTATTAAACTTACCTAAGGGTCAAGTTGGTATTAACTCGATTCAGACTAAGTTTTGTATAAGATTTTTTTAAGTTTAAGTTCAATTTGGTTTAGCTTGAAATATTATTTAATTAATAAAAATTATTTTTATTATTTTAATTATAAAATATAAATATATATTTGATGTATTATTAATATATAAATTCTATACATTATTATAAATCAATGATGACATATCGTTAATAAATAAATATTAATTTTAAAAATAAATATATAAAATATTAATATTTTTTAAATAATTTATTTATTAATGAGATGATATCATTTAATTAATTTAATTAATGAGTTAATATCATACAATTTACTTATAGTATATAAAATTAATATAATATTAACACATCAAATATAAATTTATAAAATATTTATTAAAATTTTATTATTTTCAATATTTTTATATATATTTAAATTTCTTCAAACCTTTAAGGCTTGGTGAGTTGAGTTGAATGGACTTTTGAGCAAAAATTTCAAAAGGTCAATAGAAAGAATACTTCTCTTAAAAAGCAATGGGGAAGAATGTCACGGGAAAACCTATCTTAATCGACAAGTAAGAATTGTCCTACCGAACATGCAACAATAAAAGCATCTAAATTACACCTATTGGACCGTCCTATTCCTAAAACCTATAACGGTCCAGTACGTTATTCTCATTGAAATGAAAAGCAGGAAAGATAAAATCAACAAGTGCACCCAATTGGAATCATCCACGTCACCCCTCTTTTCAGTAAAGAATTCGCATAGAAAACCAAAAAAAAAAAAAGTCATTTAAAATCATCAAATCGAAGAGACAAAAAAAAAGAAAAAATAAATAAAAAACATATCTCTCTCTTTGTCTGTCTCTCTGGGCTTTTGCTTTTCTGTGCCTCAATCCCGGGCGATCTGGTCCATAACTTCTAGGGTTAGGGTTTCGATCTCTTATCTTTATTTTTTGCTTCTGATTTTTTCAATTTTTGGAATAGTTTTTTTTCTTGGGTTTATTTGGTGTTAATTGATTGCTAAATTTTTTTGATTGGTTTTATTTGACCTCTTAAAACAGAGGCTTATCGGATGTGTTTTTGAGCTCTGAAATCTGCTTTAGGGGCTCTTATCGCTAAATTCTCTAGCCCAAAGGTTAACCCTTTTGTTCCCCTTTTCCCTTTTCTAGCTAGCTTGGTTGAATTTTTGCAGTATTAGTCTTATTTTTATTATTTAAATTTGTTGTGATGGGTGAAATTAGTTTTGCATGCATGTCAAGGATGTCTTTCCTTCTTTCTTGGCCCCTTTTTGTGTGTTTAATTTGATGATTATGGTTAAGGGAAAAAAAACAAATTTATGGGTATAATTCTATTGTTTTGTCATTCTTTTAATTTTGTTTGTTCACTTGGTCTATGTGTTTTCATACTTTTCTTGGTTTTGATGTTAAGAGGCATATGGAAAATGAAATAAACGGGAGAGAATTTTTAAGAGTATTTAGCAAAAAAGATGTGAGATTTTCACTTATCAATGAAAAACAACACTCTGTGAAAGAAAAAGCTCTATGCTTAGGCAGGAGTTTTTCTAATCATTTTTGATGAATTATGAGCAGATTGGGAACTTAAAGAGCATCATTAACATTTATGTTAAAGCTAGCAAATATTTAGGAGAGATTAGCCCATCGTTTTAGTATTTTATTATTTACTGTATGTGTCTCGTCTAAGTTCTAATTGTTAACCCTTAGTTTTAATTGTTAACCTCTGTTTACTATCAAGTTGATAGCTTTCTGAACAGCTAATCAAATGGATGATTCTTTTTCTTTTATTACTTCTTACAGCGGCATGGAACTGTCACTACTAGCACTAATATATTACTTAATACATGTGATACGCTTTGGATGTGCCATCTATATGCATTACTGAATAGAGTAAATTGTAAGATGTTTTAAGATTTATTTCCCTATATTTTTTCTCAAGACTGGAAGTCTTGTTTAATAGTTTTATTATACTGTTTCAATAATTCAATTTAGAGTTACGTACTTATGTGTTAATATTTTCATTTTGCATCTTTACTAAAGATCTTTTCCATTTACTACTTGTTTTGAAGTGGTTGACTAGGATAGTGTGCTTTTTTTAATGTATCATGGGATTTTAATCTATAGGAGTGCTTTTCTGTGAAATGAAACAATTTGTAAGGTTCCTGCCTTGCAAGGTTAAGATAGTACTATTTGTTTTTCATGGATATCTTTTACTTCATAAATGAACAGACACACTTACAGACATACCCATTAGATGATAATGCTTACATCTTGTAGAGTTCTGGTTTCTTTGCTTGATTGTGGCTGGAAAAGGGAAAAAACAGTTGCTATCAGTATTATAGAAGTTTTTTTTTTATGCATTTACTGATAACTTAATGTATGTGTCAACTGGCATTAAGTGTGAATTGTCTCTGGGTTTTAGCATTATCAATTTACTTGTTAGATTCTCATATTTAACTGTATTTGGTGTAGGAGGGGTGAAGAAATGGACCATGAGAAGACAGGATGCCAAGCTCCTCCTGAACGTCCTATTTTGTGCATTAACAATTGCGGTTTCTTTGGAAGTGCAGCTACAATGAATATGTGTTCCAAGTGTCACAAGGATATGATATTGAAACAGGATCAGGCTAAACTTGCTGCGTCATCTATTGATAATATTGTGAATGGGTCCTCACCCAGCAATGTGAGTGAAACCGTTGTTGCTAGTGGTGTAGATGTGCAGAATTCTGTGGAGCCAAAGACCATCTCAGTTGAGCCATCCTGTGCATCTGGCTCAGGGGAGAGTGTAGAGGCAAAGCCGAAGGAGGGTCCAAACCGGTGCAATACTTGCAAAAAAAGGGTTGGTTTAACAGGGTTCAAATGTCGTTGTGGTAACCTGTTCTGTAAATCACACCGTTACTCAGACAAGCATGACTGCCCCTTCGACTATCGCACTGCTGCTCGTGATGCTATAGCTAAAGCCAATCCAGTTGTCAAGGCAGACAAGCTTGATAAAATCTAAATACAAGGGAGATAAAGTTTCATGTGCTGAAGTATGTTTGCTCATTTTCCTCCGAGGCACCCCGTCTGAGTTGGCCACAAGTGTTATGAGGTGTCCTTATTTATTGTTATATATGCTGGAAGACAGGCTATCTAGGACATCTATGCACTATGAAGACCTCTATATCTTGTGATTGGCGAGAATTTATATGTTGGCATCAGTGATTTGTCTTAATCTTGTGGTGGTTTGATGTACTCTATCACTTTGTATGTGTCACTCTGTTTCATATGGCATTTCGCTCTAGTTCTCTACTTTTAAAAATGGTATATGCAATTTCAAGATGATAAGAGGATGATCCTGGATGCTCTTATGGGAGCTGTGTAAAATTTCAATTATGTTTTTCCTTGTATTTATCCTTGTTTTGTGTTTAATCCTTTGCAAATCTTATATTTATGTGTTGTGGTTTGTCTTTACTTGAATGATGATTACTGTTATGAACATTTTCACCCCTCCCACGTAAATAACAAGTAGGTAAGCAACCATTTTCCAAAGGTCTATTTGATGAGACCTCAAGGCTGTTCAACATGTAATAATCTAATGGGAGATTATCAGTGATAAAGCCGTGGTCAATACACAGCCATCAGGTCTTACCAGCAAAATGCATTGGTTCATTTATATCATAAAATTTAAGTACAAGAGACAGTAACATTCCCAGATTACATATGAACTACATCAAAATTTGCACCAAGTCTATAAAGGACATTAAAAATTAACCGCGACAGTTTTGCATCTTACATTCTGTCGTTATTCCCTACTCTATGAGAGAGATGGCTGAAACATTTAGTGTGGGAAGTCAAAATTATAGAGCCATCCCACTAGATTCAGCTTCAAGATACTTACAGATCCTCTCCATAACCTCTCTACCCTTCACACTATTTTGCATAAACCTCTCAGCGCATCTTTGCTCAACCTTTTCTGCCATGGATGCCAGAGCTGATAATGGCTTAATATGAATGCTAGTCTCTTGTCGACAAACTGTCCAGCCTGTTGGATTATCTGGGTGAGGGTCATACCGAATCTTCTCCTCTACCTCTATAAACTTTTGAAGACTGACATTACGGGTTGTAAGTTGCATTGACTTAGATGGGGCATCGACAACAGTTGATTCAACACAGTGGCAGATATCCTGGCCAATGATTTTGCGAATAAACCATGGCCCAGGAGCATGGATGGTAAGAGCACGAGTAGTGTAAAGCTTACCAGAGAGAGGATCAAGTTTTTGATTCAATGTGTCAACTTCAAGAATATGAGACAAGGTACGTTTGTTCTCAGGGTCAGCAAACTTGCGCCAAGATGCAGAAGTTACTCGCTCCCATGGATGCTTGTAAACGTGCTCTTGAGTATATGCTTTCACCATTACGGTCTTTCTAATGCTGTTCATAGACAAAGAACAACAATTCAGTTCAGAAACAATGCGCATCCATGATTATTCAGGCAGAGTTCACTTCATCTCAAATGAAAGCAAATGTTAACTAAATATTCACTTAAAATTTTGAAACTAAAAGAACCTAACTAATCATAACAAAAGTGTAACTAGGTCTACTTCTCAAATCCAATCTCCAATCAAGTGTAATTTTGAGAAATAAGCAGTTAAGCACTTATTATTGATAATTACTTCAATATTATCCACATCAAGTATAAAATTCAGTTCAGACATAACATTTATTACAACGCTCTTATTAAATTAAGAATGAATTATAACATCAAATAATCATGCAGTAAATTACAAGACATTTTTGGAGCCTGGGAGTATTCACGTTTGTTGGTTGTGACTTGTGAAGAAATCAGACAAGCACAAAGAGTTATAAACAAATGCAGCATTTTCATAAAGCAGGACAAAGATTCCACACCTAATAATTGAAAGCATAAAGAAATTCTAAAAACAATTCAGACGCCTTTTCTTCGACTTTTATAGGGACCAAAACAAAACAGAAACTAACTAATAATAATTTAGTAGAAAAACCTAAAACTAATAATAATAATAATAATAATAATAATAATGAAGGAGACATGAAACTAAAATAAGCATTCAAATCCACAAAGACCCAGACATTAATTACTAACATAGATCATCAAAAACCTAAAATGGGATGAAAAACAAGCTTCACAACCCATGAATCAATTGGATCCCAAAGGCAGAAAAATGCCAAAGCACAAGCTCCAATCCATCTTAAGAAGAAAAAAAACAGAAAAACAAAGATATAATTTCTCCTACATAAGAGAGCTTCCAGCCATTATTCGAGTTGATATGATTATAACCAAACATCTATGAAAAATTGGTATAATGACCAAAAAAAAAAAAAGATCAGAGACAGAAATGAAAAAGAAAAATAGAGAGAAGAAAACGCACCGTACAGAAAGGCTGCGGGAGCGCGAACCCTAAAAAAAATGTTTAGAATTGTAAAAGAGGGACAAAGGGAAGTTTGATACTGATAGACGATGGATCATGGAAGGAAATTGTGTACTAAGAGCTTTAACGCACCTCGCCTGAATTCTTTGGAAACCCAATTTTTCTGTTCTATTTGTGGAAATATTTTTCTTTATAGATTATTGTATGCTTGGGGGGAAAGTAGAAAAAAAAAAAAAAAGATAAAAAGAATAAACAAGGGTACAATGCATCCGACTTTGTAGAGTAAATTAAAAATATATATAATTTCAATTTTGCTAGTACTAATTAAAATTTAGATTTTTTGGTGAATAAAAAATTAGTATTTTTATTTGATTAAAGGTGCAACTTTTTTTTTTAGAAAAATAAAAAGAAAAATTAAAATTTTGTTTTGAGGCCCAACCTAAGTGCATTGCATTTGGTTTGATTTACATATAAATAAATAGCACTAAAACTCCGTTTTATAGATTTATATGATTTTAAAATCAGATTGAAAATTGAATAAAAAAAATTTGAATTCTCGATCGTTCCTATTAAAAAAGGTGATTATTATTAGAGAGTACATTTTTGATCGGTTCTTCAGTCGAGTCATGAAAGTTTGTTTAGAATCGTTATTATACACAATATTTTTTTTATATTAATATTTTTAAATATATCTTAAAATTAAAATTAAATAAAATGTTTTAGTAATAAAATAATAAATCGGCTCGAGACTTGGAATATCATGTAGGAAGCCCAGATCAAATCGGGTCAGACCTGTCATCTTGTGGGCTAGGACATGTTTAAGTCCGTCCAATTATTGTCAAATGTGTGGTCTGATTGGACCAATATTCAAATAAAAAAGACGTCCACTAGATCATAATTAAGCCCAATGGGATATTTGGGTTGAAAGATCATCAAGATTAGCTTACTGGCGGCCCATTTCTTCCGGTTTTAGGCCGAAAACATTTTCTTTTGCTTGGGTTAAGTTGAAAGCCGGTTGATACAAATAAATAAAAAAAAAAACTCCTCAATTAAATTGAAGGCACTTGGTTGCGTTTCTCTATTGCAACATTGGGCAAGTAGAGAAAAGGATGACAGTTGCTTTTACAATCAAACATAAAATTTTCTCAGTTTACAATCAAACGTCAAGATAACATGCAATTCTATTGAATCAATAATAATCAATGAAGAATCTTTGTATATTATAACTAAGGATCATTCTCATAGCATATATATTTCTTTACTCACCCATGGGCTATGGTAATTTTTTTAGAATCTTTGTTTTCTAAAACAAGACAATGCCATGCACATGACTTACACATACTTTATTATATTTATCAAATTGGTTTAACCTGAGATTATTATTTAGGTTTTTTTTTTTTTTTTTTTTTTTTTTTTTTTTTTTTTTTTTTCTAAAGATGTAATATAAAAATAGCGCAAAAGGATGTAAGCACTAAGATTTGAGCATAAAATCTATTAAAATTAATTATATAAATTAATTGAATTAAACTTCAAATTCGATTATCATTTATCTTTGATGTATAGAATTGTTGAAAAGTTTTCATTACTTTCACAGGATCGTCGGTGTGCATGTCAAGTAATTGGAACAACAAAGTCTCATTAATTACCATCAATTTCTTTTTAATGCTAGCTCTAGCTCCTTGGAGAATTTTATATATAGCTTGATGACGTGGCTTCTCCAACAGAGCACAAGCTGGTGGAGATTGTTGTTTGGATGATGGAGAACTGAAATTCGAAGTCGATAGTCTAGACTTTGAAATTGCTGCTACACCATCCATGTGCTAGCTGGTTCTGTTAAATATTAATGAACACCATCAACTTGGTGTTCAATGGAGTTACAGTTCTCAAACTATAGCACCAGCTAGCCGCCCTTTGACCGGCCATTATCAAAACCATCATCTATTATTCCGGATTTAATGGATTAATAAGTGCAAAATATCTGTCTTCATGTCCAGATGAATGCCATTATATTAGGTGTTATCCTGGGACGGTGAGGTCCGATCAGCCTACCCAAATACAATGTACTCAAATTAAAGTTGAATTTTTGTGTCATAGCATTCTGATTGAATGAGCTGCTATATATATATATATTTAAACTATAGTTTGAATGCTTATATATATATATATATGTGTATGTATGAATATAAACATTCAAACTAATAAAATATCAAATCAAGGATTATATACTAATTTACCAATGTCTGTAAAGGGATATTCCTATTTCAAATTGATTCATCATTATATTCTAATTCAAGATAATAATATCATTTATAAAGTTGTTGTTAGGAATAGTAACTTAAATTTCAAAAGAGATTTTCAAGTTATTGTTGTTGGAAATAGTGAGTTAAATTTCATAAGAGATTTATTTAGAATTGATTAAATATTACTTGATGGATAAAAAAATTTTAAAAAAATTTAAGATAAAAGGGATTTTTATAAGTAAGTTAATATGATTATAAATTAATAACATATTATGAAATAAATATATTAAAAAATTATAGGATTTTATAAGATAAATACTTTATAGGACTAAAAAAATTAACGTATTTATAAGTGGATATGTTGAATAGACTAGATGAGAATAAGATAGTCCACATAGATATAATGTATGTGTACATATATGTATGCGTTTGTTTGGATTGAAAATATTCCATAAGATTAGAGGAGAATGAGAGGATCTATAAGTATTAATTATAAGTATTTGATTTAATGTTTATTTGTAATTTTTTACAATGAGTACATCTTTTTTCTCATTCATGGATATAGATTGATTAAGTCGAATTATGTTAAATTATTATCTCTTGTATAATAGATGAATCATTTGATCATACTTTTGATGGATCATTTGATTATACTTTCCGTTAACTTAGATGGTTAATTGATTGGAGCTTTTTACTTAATAATTCTTTCATTGGTTGTTCTCTGTGTCAAAGCACACCATCAATTAAAAGCAAACAAAGGTAGAAAGAAAGTCTTTTCCTCGGTGTTAAAGCCATAGTAATAGATCCAATGATTCAAATCCTTTACTCTTATCCCAAGGGCATCAAATTTAGTAAATGTAATTGGGTAGTTTTGAATTCATGAAAATATTGCTTCTTTAACATCTTGTTGGATTCAAATCTTGTTGAAAAGATTTTGTGTCTGTGTTTTCCTATCTTTTCTTTTACTTTGTAATGAAAAAACAGAAAGGTAAAAAATCAATCAAACACGAAGAATTTTCTTAGGATGAAACTTGTTAAACAAGCTAGAGTTGATTTTAGAGATTGGACCTCAATATTGACGTAACATATTAAAGAAGGAACCCTTGAAACGCATATAAAAAACACAATGTTAGACAATCTCTTCAGTTGAAGGCTTTTCAACAAAAACTTTGCCATTCTATCAAAAAATCTGTTATTGTTAGCTGAATTTGCAATAAAAACAAACATAAAAATGGCAAAATTTAGGCAACTTATGAGATATAATGGTTAATTTGGAATTTGGAAGGAAATGAGGAAAAATAGTTTTTTTTTTTATTAAAGTTCTCATAACATATAAATCCGTGAACCTATTGTCAGACATAAATTTTAAAGAGTTGTTACCAATATTTTTTATGTAGGTGTGATTAATCGTCTAATTGAATCTGTCTCAATTTAAAGAGAAGTTTCAAGTTTGATTTAAGTATTTTTAAATGGTATATTATAATTTACGAAACTAGATTTAAGTTCGAGAGTACAGTTACGTGTGAGAAAAATTATAGTATTCTCACAATATCCATCCAAAAGATAGTATTGGTTTGATTTCAAGTTATCTAAGCCTTAAAATATCTTTGTAATTTTACCAAATAGTTTAATTATTGAAAATTAATCTTTAAATTACTCTAATAGTTTGATAGTAATTTAAGATAATTTCTTCACCTTAGAAGTATTCATGAAAATTAGTGTGCCACTTTGAAGAGGCTTCATCGTTAGATTCATTTAATTTTTGTAAAAATTTTTATTTGTGATAACGAGATTTAGAACTTTGGTATCAAAATTCTTAGCTATATTCTTCAATATGTTGGTAAAATTTAGAAAAGATTTTCTCACCTAAGAATTTACATAGAGATTGCTATTTGTAATACCATTACTAATTTCATCATTGGAGGTTCAAAATTATAAAAAATATATATATTTTTAGAAATATCTTACAATATGTTGGTAAGATTTTGTGTAAAAAATGATCCTCCAATATATTTGTAAGATTTTATGAAGGAGAAAAATCAATTAAAATAAATAAAAATTATCATAAAAATCAATTAAAATAAATAAAAATTATCATGCAAATAATATCATGCAAGAATATAAAATATCTTGCAATAATATAATATATCATGCAATTAATATAAGTTATCATGCAATTAATTAATAATCACGCAAAAAAAATCATAAATAATCTTACCAAAATTTCTTTTTCTTCATTCTTTAATTTAATTAGCAATAATAATAATAAAACACATAGTAAAAATAATCAGAAAATGAAAGTAAATAAAGAGAATAAATCAAAAATAAAAAACAAAATAAAAAAAATAGAAAAAAGAAAACTTGCTATTGAGTTGGGTCACCAAGTGGGTTCACGTGCTGATCCACTTAAGCTAGGATCGAATCTTAAGTCCCAAAATGGGGTCGTATTAAGTTGGTATAAAAGCCAAAAATCCTTATTTTCCTTAGACTTGCTTCTGCTACTTCTCTATCTAAATTTGGTTTTCTCCTTCCTCTCTTTAAAAACCTTTGCCATAAAGTTCAACTGGCTAAAATGAACCTAGATTTCGATGGCAAAAACTTCAAAATGGCCACCGAAATATTCAAATAAACCCAGAAACAACTCAAAAACCACCACCAAAATCCTTTGGTCAATGTGGAACTCACTAGGAAATTCAAACATTTGTCAAAAAAATCAAACTAAATCCAAAAAACCCAAAAAAATTCCTAAAAACCAAAAAATTCAATTTAAACCAAAAAAATATAAAAAATTTCCCCAAAAATTCAAAATACAAGCCTCAATAAATTAAAAGTAAAAGCCAAAGCCAAATTAAAACACAAAGGTACAAATCCACTTCCAAAAAAATCCCAAAAGTCCCAAACTTCCCAGATAACTTCCTAAATTCCCAAAAAAAAAACTCAAAAATTTGAAATTGATTCTAAAAGCTTTAAGAAAACCAGAAATTTAGAAATTCAACATTCTCAAAAGCTT